AAACGTTAAACTTAATACATATTGTTAAATGTTTTTATAGAAAAACATTTTTTCTAAACAAAAAATTTTAGTGAGAAAAATAGCAAAGACTTTTTTTTTTTAATTTCCCCTCCTAATTTGTCTGTCTACTCTGTCATTTACTTTCATATTCAGATTGTGGTGTGATATCTTGTTTTGGTTGTAATGGAGTCCAGCTCATATAGATACCTGGTTGGAAAAAGAAATATTTTAATAGTCATTTTAGATAATTGTGAATATTATTTTTTGACACTCTGCAAAACTTGGTTCTTCTTGAATTTTGAATGGATCTTTTATTCTTTCATGATATTATTGCATTGGCTATTAGAAATTCTTCTTTTTATTTTTTTGAGAGAGAATTTTTTAATATTTATTTTTTAGTTTTCAGTGGACACAACATCTTTGTTTGTGGTGCTGAGGATTGAACCCAGGCCGCACGCATGCCAGGCGAGCGTGCTACTGCTTGAGCCACATCCCCAGCCCTATTAGAAATTATTGGTTCATTGAGATTTTCTGTGTGTTGAGACATTTCATTATACATTATCAAAAGGTTATGTTCATGGGACTGCAAATTGGTGCGGCCAATTTGGAAAGCAGTATGGAGATTCCTTGGAAAGCTGGGAATGGAACCACCATTTGACCCAGCTATTCCCCTTCTTGGACTATTCCCTAAAGACCTTAAAAGAGCGTACTATAGGGATACTGCTACATGGATGTTCATAGCAGCACAATTCACAATAGCTAGACTGTGGAACCAACCTAGATGCCCTTCAATAGATGAATGGATAAAAAAAATGTGGCATTTATACACAATGGAGTACTACTCAGCACTAAAAAATGACAAAATCATGGCATTTGCAGGGAAATGGATGGCACTAGAGCAGATTATGCTAAGTGAAGTTAGCCAATTCCTAAAAAAATAAATGCCAAATGTCATCTTTGATATAAGGAGAGCAACTAAGAACAGAGCAGAGAGGAAGAGCATGAGAAGAAGATTAACATTAAACAGGGATGAGAGGTGGGAGGGAAAGGGAGAGAGAAGGGAAATTGCATGGAAATGGAAGGAGACCCTCATCGTTATACAAAATTACATATAAGAGGAGCTGAAGGGAAAGGGGGAAAAAAAACAAGGGAGAGAAATGAAGTACAGTAGATGGGGTAAAGAGAAAAGATGGGAGGGGAGGGGAGGGGGGATAGTAGAGGATAGGAAAGACAGCAGAATACAACAGACACTAGTATGTAAAAACGTGGATGTGTAACTGATGTGATTCTGCAATCTGTATATGGGGGAAAAATGGGAGTTCATAACCCACTTGAATCAAATGTATGAAATATGATATGTCAAGAGCTATGTCATGTTTTGAACAACTAATAAAAAAAAAAAAAGCCCAGAGGGAGAAAAAAAAAAAAAGGTTATGTTCATTGGTATGATATCACCATCAGTCTCACTGCAGTACTCCTGGGAAGCTACAGGCTTGTAGTAGTTCATAAAAGTCAGAATTCTGAGTTTTTGCCTGAAAACTTGAATTTTATTTTTGGCAATATATACCGTCCTTTGTTTTCCTCAAAATGACAGGATCTCTCTCTTCATTTTTGAGAAAAATGTCTGCCAAAACCCCAAGTTGGCCTATAATCCTAGTGGCTCGGGAGGCTGAGGCAGGAGGATGGTGAGTTCAAAGCTAGCCTCAGAAAAAGTGAGGTGCTAAGCAACTCCATGAGACCCTGTCTCTAAATAAACTACAAAATGGGGCTGGGCATATAGCTTAGTGGTCAAGTGCTCCTGAGTTCAATCCTCCATACCTCCAAACCCCACAAAAACCAAAAAAAGCCCCAAGTCAGCATAATAATTGTTTGTTAGTCATCTGTCCTTTCAAGTAAAAATAGTATTTCATTAACATGGTTAGTTCACCTCACATCACACAAGTGCTTTTTCTCAAGTGTTCTGTAGGAGTGCTCATGTATACTTCCTATTTGATTACTGCGTACTAAAACAACATATTTAAGGATCAAGATTTAATAAAAATATTTTTTGCCATTTCATCACTTTTTTTAAAGATAAATACCCCTATATATGTGTGTATATATAAATATATATTTATAGATATAAATATTTATTCATTTATTTTATATGTGGTGCTGAGGATCAAACCCAGGGTCTCACACGTGCAAGGCAAGCGCTCTACTTCTGAGCTACAGCCAAGCCCATCATCATAGACATTCTTAGCAAAACTGACCTTCCTTCCTTTCAAACACCTTAAGTATATGACTATTAGTAGTATGGTGTCATTGCCTATATTTGTGATAAGGTACCAGTAGGTTTACCCACCACTGTATTTGCACTTTTATGCAAATATCTTTACCATAAAAATGGCAATTAAGGGCTGGGGATGTGGCTCAAGCGGTAGCACGCTCAACTGGCATGTGCGGGGCACTGGGTTCAATCCTCAGCACCACATAAAAATAAAATAAAGATGTTGTGTCTACCGAAAACTAAAAAATAAATATTAAAAAATTCTCTCTCTTTTAAAAAAATGGCAATATCTTAATATTCTTGTAAAAATTTTAGACCTGGGGTCTGAGCGCCCCACTTTGAGAACCATTGCACAGGTCTGTTATATACCTTATGTACAGGGTTAAAGAAAGGTTTTAGATCTGTTAAGATTTTTCCAGTTCTTTTTAATATGGTTGTGAGGAATCTCAGGACTTGTTTTTCTCATGCAGAAGTTTTTTAGACAAACACTAATCTATACATTGAATTTAGTTTTTTAAAAAAAAATTTTTTTTTTTTAGTTGTAAATGGACACAACACCTTTATTTTTGTGGTTTGAGGATTGAACCAGTGTCTCACACGTGCTTAGCAAGTGCTCTACCACTGAGTTCCAGCTCCCGCTTATACTTTGAAGTTCTAAGTCTAGTCTTGCTTTGTTTTTCAAAGGCTAAAGTAAATACAAAACTAAAACAGTAAAAATTTGTGTCTACACAGCATGTTCCCAAGAGGCAATACTAAGTGGTTTTCCTTAAAACAGGATTAATTATAAAGATAGTTTACCTTTTCCTGTAAAGATATTTGGGACACAGTAAGAAAGGAATGGGAACACAAAAATAAACCGTTAACAAACAGGTGTACTAGGTACCATTAATCGTGTCCTGTTTCAGTAATTTTTTTTTTTTAAGAATATTTGGTAAAATGCTTTTAAAAATACTCAGATTGTGTGGTTTCAGCTATGTTATAATTGAGCTTATAGTTCTCAAAGCAATGGTTCTTTGTGCAAAATTCTTTAAATTTTAGTTGGTTTGTGTGATAGAATGAAATATTAGAAATTTATGGTATTTGAATTAGCAATAGATACATTGGTTTGTAACAAAAAACCCCAGCAGTTTAAAACAACAAATGTTCTCTCACAGTTTTCTGTGAGTTAAGAATCTGTACAGCTTACCTTGGGCTCACTGGCTTAATGTCTTTCATGGGGCAGTGAAGTTGTTGGCAGAGGCCATAGGCATCTAAGGCTGGACAGGTAAGAGGATTCACCTCCAGGCTTATTCTTGGAGTTCATGGCAGGATCCATCTTCTCACAGGGTGTTGGACTAATTTAAGTGCCTTGGTTTAACTGCTATTATTGGTCAGAAATGTTTGTGTTTCATTTCCTTGCCAATGTGGGCCTCTCCATAGGACAGCTCACCACATGGCAGTTGGTTTTCATCAGAGCAGTCAGTGGAAGAACAAGAGAGATGAGCAAGATAGATGGTATCTTTTTGTAACCCAATTTCAGAAGTGACATCTCATTACTTTTGCTGTATTCTGTTTGATAGAAGTGAACCACTAAGTCCAGGGGAGGGAATTTTACAAGAGGTGAGGATTATTTGGGTCATCTTAAAAGCTGCCTTCTATAGAGCTCAAGAGCATCATTGTGAACATAACTGTGGCTATACAAAGAGAATGACTGTCCCAAAAGGCAATTGAACTCCTGAGGCAATTGAAAGTTTAATGTCCACTGTGAAAGCTCTGTGTTGCTGTTCATTCTGCCTTGTAACACCTGCTATATTTAAGAAGTAATCTTAATTTCATTTAATAAATCTGTTTCTTTAGAAGTAACCTTCTGTGTTAGTTTAAAAAGGAATGGAAAATTATTTGGAAAAAGGCAAAATTAAATGGGATAAATTTTAGATTTTTTTTTTTTTTTTAGTGGGGGGAAATCTCAAAATAACTTCTGTAGTTAACACAACTCAGAAGTCAAGAGTGAGTAAAAGATCCTGAAAAACAAAAGTATTTCGCAAGGATTTAGAGACATGTGTTCCCTGGCTTTATTTTAAGAATTCAGAATTAGATCTCTTTTAGATTAAAAGGTAAAAGTAGTACAGTTTAAATCTATAAACTGTGCTTTTTTAATATTTATTTTTTAGTTGTAGGTAGACACAATATCTTTCATTTTTATGTGGTGCTGAGGTTTGAACTCAGTGCCTCATGCATGGGAGGCAAGTGTTCTACCACTGAGCCACAACCCCAGCCCTATAAACTGTACTTTTAAGAAACATTTTTTGTTATTTGAGTGCTTTATTATGATTCCAGATTTTAAAGCCCTGGAAAAAGGTGAAAGCTGGAGAATCCAAGCAAGGATAGACTTTTCTTTGTAAAGGAGGGAAGCCTGTTTCCTTGCTTGAATACCTTTTGTATTTACTTTTGAAAAATTTTAAGTTTTACAGTGTATTCACTTGTTCATGTTGGTTGCTGGGGAAAGTACTTCTGTCTTATTTTTAGACTTAACGAATTGTGTGGCTTGGGATAGGCAAGATTGAACTATAAAACTTTATTTGCTTTTTAAATTCCATAAAAGGAAATTTGATTATCCCCCATGGATTTAAATGTGTTACTTTTCTTCCCTGTATACATTTCACTTGACATTTTGCCATTCAGTGATATGATTTATTGCATATCTGGATTAGTCTGTATGTAAATGTGTTTTACATAGGTATTTCTATAACAGGAATCTTACCCATCTTCTTCACCAATATGGTTTGTGGACTCTGATGACCCAACTCTGACATCAGTTCTGGAACGTCTAGAAGATACTAAGAACAACAACACGGTGAGAATATAAGTCAGAACCTACTTTATTTTTTTTTCTCATGAACTTCTGTGTTAAGAGGTAGTCATAATGATTAATGATTGATAATCATAATACAGGGGTCAAATACCAAGGTGTGGGTGTGTGTGTTTTTTAAGTTTTTAAGTTCTTCAGGATGTATTTACTACCTGCTTGGTTGGTTGGCTGGTTTATTTCTTCTTAAATTTGCCCCAAGAATAGCCTTGCTTTAGGTTAGGAATTAGAAATTTCTTTTCCCAGCATCCTCACGTTAAATCAAACAAGCATTTTTGGTAAAGACTACTAGCTAAGGTGGGGAGTAGAAAAGGGAAAAATGCTAATGCAGATGTGAAGGAATAATGATAGAATGAGGCAAATACTAGTGTTAAGGAATTGCTTTTTCTGTCAAGGGTCAATAGCCTGCAACAAAAGCCAAAGATATTCAAATAGAAGTTTTTTGTTTTTTTTTTTTTTTTTTAAATAGCAGTACCCCCTTATCAGTAGATGCATAAATCTATGGATAGTACTTAACCCTAATATGCTGTGTTTTATATATATATATATGGTTTCTATATATATATATAAATGTACCTAGATAAAGTTTAATTTATAAGTTAGGTACAGTAAGATTAATAAAAAATAATTAAATGGAACAATTATAACAATACACTGTAATAAAAGTTATTTAAAGCTTATGAGTTGTTTACTTCTGAAATTTTCCATTAAGCATTTTCAGATCGTTTTGATCCAAGTCACTTGAACTGCAGAAAGCAAAACTGGGGACAAGGGAGGACTACCGTGTGAAGAAATGTATCTTCATTTTATAAAAATTTAAAAACATTTTTATTCTTTGATTATAAATTCATAAGTGTCCATTGTGAGAAAACTGGTAAAATACAGTCAAGCAAAACCAGGAAGATTAAAATCTCCCTTAATTTCTTTACCTAATATGACCATTAATGATATGACTATTTTCTACCAATTTTTTTTCTTTGCTAGTAAAATATATATACCCTTATACATATGTTTAAATAATTGAGGTCATATTCTTTGGTTTTCTTTTTAGACATTATCATGTTTTCCCATGATGTCATAAAGTCCTATAGAAAATTACCCATCATTGTGTGTGATATGATCGTTTACCAAAAAATCTAAAGGAATCAACTGAAAATTTTTAAGATGATTGATTAAAATCTATTTTATAAAATCTATTTTATTAAAATCTATTTTATCAGATAGCAAATATAATACTATTTTACTGATAATTACAACAACAATTAAAACATCTAGGAATAAACTCAGATGTTCAGGGCTTGTATCAATAAAGCTCCAAAATTTTGCTGAGTGAAATAAAGACTGGGCACTATGTTCCTGGAAGGGCAGTCTCCTATGTTATAAATATGTCACTTACCCCTATGTCTTCATATTAATTTATAAATCTTAATGCATCACCGGTAAAACTCCGAACAGATTTATTTTTGGAACTTCACAGAATGGCTCTGAAGTTTGTTATGAAGAGCAAATAATAAAAAATAAAAATTTTAAACAGGTAGTAAGATAACCTGCGCTTTCAAATATTAAATAAAATATTGTGTACTGGCACTGGATGTGTCAGAAGAAATTTAGAAATAGTCATGCAGATGAGAATTTAAGGTAAATGTGGTATTTTATTAAAATATTTTTTTTTAGTTGTCAGTAGACCTTTATTTAATTTATATGTGGGGCTGAGAATCGAACCCAGTACCTCACACATGCTAGACAAGTGCTCTGCCTCTGAGCCACAACCCCAGCCCGTGGTATTTTATTTATTTTATTTTTTAAATATCATTATTTATTATTTATTTATTTTTATGTGGTGCTGAGGATCGAACCCAGGGCCTCACACCTGTAAGGCAAGCACTCTACCACTGAGCTACAGCCTCAGCCCCCCGTGGTATTTTAAATCAATAAAGAATAGATTATAGATAGTTTTGAGAGACCTGATTATTTGGAATATTAGTGTCTTTAACTTAGATTTTTGTCAAAATAAGCTATAGGTGGTTTAAACACATGTGTTTTTAAGAACAAAAGGACATCAGTTTGAAAATATTTTAAAAATTAAGGTTGGTTTGGAGAGCCATGAAAGGTAAGGGGTAAAAATTAAAAGATAGAAACATGTTCACATCTCTGGCACAGGGTTATGATAATGGACAGAGTGCTAGATATAACCCTGTTGTTAGCACCACCTTTTAGGAGGTTGCCTCTGAAAATGAGGATACTACTTCTATAGCAGGAATGATTGCAGTTATTTTTCAGTGTCTAAAATGTTATATCAAAAAAGCTCATACAGCCGGGTGTGGTGGTGCACGCCTGTAATCCCAGCAGCTCAGGAGGCTGAGGAAGGAGAATCACAAGTTCAAAGCCAGCCTCAGCAATGGCAAGGTGCTAAGCACTCAGTGAGACCCTGTCTCTAGATAAAATACCAAATAAGGTTGGGGATGTGGCTCAGTGGTTGAGTGCCCCTGAGTTCAATCCCTGGTAGGAGCCCCCCCCCCCCCCCCCCCCCCCCCCAAATGCTCATACAGTTAAATAAAATGGATATAAAATTGGGCTAAATTTTATTTTAAAAATCAAACATTTACATGAAGGGGGAAAAAAAACCTTTCATTTTAGGGCTTTTGCCTGGTTTCTAGAGAGAATAAGCTTTATATTTTCACTTTTAAGTCACCAAACTCAAATCTGGATTGTGCTTTCATTGTGGGACTAAAATTTATCTTCTAGTTGTCTGATTTCATGGCTCCATTTTTAGTTTCCAAATTGCCCCCTCTGTAGCATTTTGATATTGTTGATTATTCCTTTGTTGAAATATTCTTCCATTCAATAAACATTTATTACGTAGTGTCACCAATAGTTCGTAAAATAAAAAAAAATTGTGTATAGGTGTATAATAGAATATTCTGTTGTAGTTAAAAAAGAATGCAGCCAGTCTTTCTGTTAGAGATATGAAAGTTCCAAGATATATTAAGTGAAAATGCAAGGAACAGTCTATGTATCCTCTCCCTTTTATATACAGTGTTGTAAAAAGTCTGTATGCTGGTTTTATCTTTTTTTTTTTTTTTCCTGGATAAATACAGGAAGCTGTTAATTGAACATAGAAAAATATTTTTAAAAAATATTGATTGGCTTTTATGCAAGACTTTGTGATAAGTCGTGGTTATAAAAAGACAAGGCATGTTTCTGTCCTCTGAGAATTGATAATCTAATGGGGACTTTTGACAGATCACTGTCTCCTGTTCTTATTTTCTTCCTTTGATCTTCTCTGAGCTGTTTTTCTTGGTATGACTCTTCTGTTTTCATTCTGTGATTTTTGTGAGTAATCTCTTCTACTCTCATTATTTAAGTCATGACCTATATATAGTCTAGGGATTTCTAAATTTCTATCTCTAGCTAAAAATTATCTCCAGAGTTTTAAATCCATACGTATATATCATATATGTCCAGGGAATCTCAGATGTGCCACAAGTGTTTTAAAATGATCACATCTCAGTTTACACTCATCTATTGCCTAGTACTCTACCACCCTGTCATATTTTTTCTTAATTCTCATTTTGATTGTGATTGGGACAAAATGAAGTAATGAAACTGGACACTGTACCTGAACCTGGGAATATCTTAGAGCATTTTTTAATACCTCTGTTCTCTAAACCCCCAAAATAAGTTTTGAAGACCTGTCAGTCAGGCTTCTGAATTTCTTAAATCCTTCCCTATGATCTTAGTTTCTTCCCCTATCCCTCAAACATTCTGTGGGGGGAAGGGTTCCAGGTTGGGTAGAGAAATTCCTTAAAGAGGTACTACCCTGTTTTTCTTATTGCTTAGTCAGACTCCACTATCCTGCTGTCTCTCCCATATGCTCCCATACCTGCTTCTGTGCTGGGGGTCTGAGCGTCCAGGGCTATATTCCTGTTCACCCTGCCTCATCTTCATTTGTGTACTTAATATAAAATAGAACTTATTGGATAGATAACAAACCCGTATTGGGGCTTTTGCTTCCTTTTAAGCATGAGGATTTTTGTTTGATCCTAATTTAGTATTTAGCCTTCTTCATTTCCACTTGCTTCTCTGTCCACTATGGAAAGGGTTTTTTTTACTTGGTTTAACCCATTCTAATTCTGTCTGCTTTCTTAGTCATTTTTTTAAAATATTTTTTTTTAGTTGTGGATGGACACAAAAATCTTTATTTTTATTTATGTATTTATTTTTACATGGTGCCGAGGATCAAACCCAGGGCCTCACGTGTGTGAGACAAGCGCTCTACCATTGAGCTACAATCCCAGCCCTGCTTTCTTAGTCTTTCATAAACCTGTTTCTTCCTCTGCATCTTTTATTGGTCAGATACACCCAGGGAACTAGTTCTGAACAAGTGAAGTAAGTTGTCTTTTAGCTCCCCTCTGAGCCTACCAGGTATTGACCATTCTTCAATTGCAGTTGTTTAACTTAAATATTGAAAAAAATTTAAACAACGAAAAACATGTTTGTGCATATACTTTAACTTGCTTGATTAAAGTTAATGTGCTTACCAAATAATCTGGATTTAAAAATGGAAATTTAAGGAGGTATTCTTGGCAGTTTTCCTAGTGATTTTTTTTTTCCCCTGACAGGCACTTAAGAGCCTACTAAACAGCAAGTGTTTTCAAAGAAAATTTCATTTAATCTTTTCCATTCTGAGAACATTTTGATTGCTTTGTTTTATACATGGGAGATTCAAACCCAGGGAGTTAGATACCATATTCAAAGTCATCTATATTCCAAGGCTCTGTCTACTAGATTACATTTGCTTCTGTACTTTTAAATGAATATGACTCTGGTATGTATAATTTTAAAATTCATATATAAACACTCCCTCTATTTTTTGTGGCCTTATTAATGCATTAGTGTTTTATTGTCTGAAGTTGTAAATTTCTGAGAAAAGTTAGCAGTTAGAAAATGAGCAAGGTCTGGAACTCCCTTCTTCTGCCTTTTTGTCGATGTCATTCTATTAGGGATCAGTTATGGTACCTAAACCATATCTACTTTTTTTGTTTTTGTATTTATGCTAACATTTTTACATGAGCAGCCCTTAAAAATATTTTAAAGACTATATTCTGTCCATAGGCTGCAGTTGGGCAGTAACAACCTTCTCATTCTGGATTGATTACAGTAGTTATAGCATTATTCATGTCTTCTAAGGGCTCTTTAACACAACGCTTATTTACTGAAATGTGTTTTGTAGCTTCGTCAGCAATTGAAGTGGTTGATATGTGAACTCTGCAGATTATATAACCTTCCTAAGCACCTGGATGTTGAGATGCTAGATCAACCACTACCCACGGGTCAGGTAAAGTAAAAATTCTCTAGTGTTCAAGAGCTGAAATAAATTGTCTCAATCAGAAGTAAACTAGGATGGTTTATCTTTTTATTACTGAACAGCTTATTTAGAATTTTTTATGTTCCTATTAAATTGCCTTTTTTTTTTTAAGGTACTAAAAATATACTTTTCATTGCTTGGAGCTGCTTGAATTTAACTCATAGGCAAGCAACTGCCCTCCTACCCCACTGTTTTGTTGTTAATATTTCTGGTTTCTATAAGTATTTCTTTCTTGTTTGTTTGCCTTTGCTTATTTTAATACCTTCACTAGGATGCCATCTCATTAAGTCCATCTGTGCTTTTCTCTTTTGGTGGTACTGGGACTTGAACCCAGGGATGCTCTACCACTGAACTACATACCCGCCCCTTTTAATTTTTTTATCTATCTGTATTTCTTAAGGCCCAACCCAAATGTTATTTTCTTTAAGCAACAGGAATTTCTAGTAGCTCAGCCAGACATAGTAATGCATATGAGAATTATAATTCAAGGCCAGCCTCAGCAAATTAGTGAGACTCTGTCTGAAAATTAAAAAAAATAAATAAAAAATAAAAAAGGGCTGGGATATAATTCAGTGGTAAAGAGCCTCTGGGTTCAATCCCCAGTATCCCCCCCCCCCCCAAAAAAAAAAAAAAAAAGATCTAGCTCAACACCACCCCTAAGTAAACTGTCTCTTTTCTAGTTTATTTTGGAATAGAATTACCTATTTAGGCATCAGTTACTGACTTTTACTATAATAAATGAAGATTTAGCTCTTAAACCATTACTTTCCCACCTATCTCTCCTAACACATATTTAGTCATATGAATAATCACTAGTTTATGATTAGGACTTTGTAGTATAGAACTTTGTAGTATAGAGCCAAGTTTTCTATTATGATATTTCCTTTCTTGTACCACCTTTTGTTTTGCAACATCTGTGTTATAATTTTAGTTGTGTTCACACTGGGTGCTGCCATGCTTGCTTGTAATCCCAGCTATTCAGGAGCCTGAGGCAGGATTGCAAATTCTCAATCTTGAGACAGGAGGACTGCAATTTAGGGAGACCCTGTCTCAAAAGTCCGGGGGTGGGGGAGGGGCCTGGGATATAGCTCAGTGGTAGAGTGCCCTTGTGTTCAATCCCCAGTACTGCCAAAAAGAAAAAAGAAAATATTGTTCTTAACCCCTTTCTGTGATCCTCCTATCTTCTGTTCCTTTAAGTTTTCTTCAGTGACCTTGGCAGGTTGTTCTCTGGGCTGCCTGTACAGCTCTCATCTTAAGGTATTTCTTGTATGCTTTCCTAGGGTAGATTCATCATTTTCTGGATCTCACATTGTCTTTTTCAACCTTTTTTCATTTTGTCTGAGTACAACCTCAGGTAAAAGCCTGAGAAAGTATGAAATAGTGGTCTTTTCCTGAGTTCTAGCTTCTGAAAAAAAACAGCCTTGAGTTCAGGTTTCGGAGCCAGACCACAATGGGTTTGAATCTTGGTTTTGCTGCTTATTAGCTTATATCTTGGGCTGATCATTTAATCACTGTGCATTATTTTCCATTTGCAAAATGGGGGAAATAATAGCACTAGTACCTATTTTTTTCAGGAAACCATGAGCATTAAATGAGTTGGTACATGTCAATCATGTAGAACATTGCCTGGTGCACTTGTTCCCTAATAAATTGTAACTACATTATATTTCACCCTTTTACATAATTGATACTTTGATTGAATTTTTAAAATTAATTTATTTTTTGAATTTTTAACTGAGGTTGATTACCCCAGGTTTTCAAAGACTGTGTTGTTGTCTTCTAGCCAATAGTGGTGTTGAAGCCTGGTAAGTCTTACTCATGACACTCTGTCTGGAAGTTTTTAAGAGTTTGTGCTTTTCTTATTAGTGTTCTGAAATACCACAACAGTATACTTAGTTGTGGGTCTATGAAATTCATTGTGCTGTGTACTCAGAAGGTATATGTCTTTTCAAATTTGGAATCTTGAATCTTACTATGTTTTGCATTAACTTTCTCTTTTCCAGTTTATTTTAGAATGCCTACTAATTGGATTTTTAAGCTTCTTGGTTTGAATCTCTTGTCTCTTATATTATCTCTATACTCTTTTTAATTTTAAATTCTGGAATATTTTCTTTCAACTTTTGGAAATTTTACTTGGACAGTCTTAAGTTTTTTATTTATTGCTGCTCACTCAGTGACCTCAAAATGTAATGGCATAAAACAACAATTTCTTCCATTTCTCACTATTGGATGAATTAAAAAGGCTGATCTAGACGTTTTTTTTGCTGGCCTCATTTGGAGGTTCTCACTGTGTAGTTACATGGTGACCAATACTGGTGTGATATGGACACTTGACTGCACTGGGATGTCCAAGATGGCTTCTTTACCACCCACATGTCTATCATCTTGGCGTTTCTTCACACAGCTTTTCTCCTTACCTTATATCTCATCCTCTAGGGCTTCTTTTTGAGGCTTCTCTTTAGGAGGCTAGTCAGAACTCAAATTTTTGGCTTCCAAGAGCATGAAAATAGAAACTGCCAGATGTTCATAAAGCTTATTAGACCTAGAACAGTTTCAGTGTTAGTTCAGCTGCATTCGTAAGTTAAAGCAAGTCACAGGGCCAACTCTGGGATGGGACCATAGGTGACTGAATGCTGGGAAGTGTGGCTCATTTGGGACTATGTATCTCCAAATGTGGAACCGTATGCTCTGAGAACTTTTTCTTCTGATCATTCCTTATTCCTGGCATTCTATTTTGGTCTTATAAATGTGATGTATTTCATAATTGTCTTTTAAGAAGTTATTTTGGTACTCTTATGTGTTCTTCCTAACTCTTATATATATATACACACTTATATATATTATATATAAATATATAATTATTAATATATATAATGTATATGTAATATATATTTTAGTTTATCTTGTTTTTTTTTTAAGAATTTTGCTCACATATCTTTGTTGTATTCTGTGTTGCTCATTCATGTTGTCCTTTTAATATACCCTTCTCTTTTCGCTCATTCTTAGGTTTTGAATAACTGGTTTGGAGTTCTTTGTGTCCAAGACTTATCAACTGATAGCTTTTAGGGGGAATTTATGCTAACTTGCAATTGCTCTCTTCCACTCTTCTATTTCCTGGTGTAGGAATAAATGATGGCTGGAACTATTCACTTTCTCTGGTAATGAAATCTTTGCTCTTTTGCCTGACGTAGATTCTGCCTGGGTTCTGCTTAAGGAAATGGGGGAGAACAGCATGTTTCAGGACTGGACAGACTTTTGGTTAGTCTCTGGTTTTTAGTTCTGCCTGTTTCTCCTACTTTCCAGTGTACTTGGTATCTCAGAGTCTTGAACCTCTCCATATATGCTGTAGAAGGAACCTTCTCATTATTCCCTTAACCTGTGCCTTTACTTGACTTCATTACATTAATTAATCTTATTCTGTTTACTGTAATCTTAATGTAGTTGAATTTTCTTTTGTGATGGTAGGATCATTCCCTCTTTTTTTTTTTTTTTTTTGGTCCTGGGAGTTGGACCCACAGGTGCTTAACCTCTGAGCCACATTCCCAGGGTCTCCCTAAGTTGTTTAGGGCCTCGTTAAGTTCTTGAGGCTGGTCACAGACTTGCAATCCTCCTCCCTCAGCCTCCAACTCTCTGAGATTATAGGTGTGTGCCACCATGCTTGTCCTCTTCCTCTTTTTTTTTTTTTTTTTAAATTTAAATTTATACAGGGTCTAGTCTCACTGTAATTTTATTGAAGTCTCAGGAAAGAGAGAAGATGGGAGAAATACGTGTTCTATATTGAGCTTCTTTCTCTGGGATATCTGCAACTTGTGTTTTTCAGTTAATAGTATGTCATGGACATAAGGCATGTAGGGTCTACCTTATTGTATATAGAGTTGTATATAGGCATTAACATAATTTGTGAATTACATGACAGAATGTCCTATTTTGAATTATCCTTGCATTCCCATGATAAACATTGTTGGAATGAATATTGTAATACTTTATTTTTAAGTAAGCTCATGGTAAAGTTCTTTGTTTCCTTTCAGGCTCTTGTTTCATTTTTGCGTCAGGGTTATGACTTGGGAAGCGTTACATCTTTTCTTCTATGATGTAGAAAAGTTTAAACCAATAATTTTCAACCAGAGGCAATTTGGCCTCCAGTAGAACAATTGAAACTATCTGGAGCCATTTTGGGCTGTCATAGCTGGCTGTGTCAGAAGGATACTATTGGCTCTTTAAACAAATATATAAGAGTATACCTTTTAAGTGATGTTTCACTTCATTGCACAAATTTAAAATTTTAGTGTATTTCTGAGTAGTTTATATTCCCATATTTGTTCACATTACTCTTACTACCAAAATTTTTGTGAAATAAACATGTATTGGAAATACATAGTGTAACACATGGTTGCAATTAATTCCTAGGAACTACTACTTAGTCATCACCCAGGAGAAGGAACAGAACATTGTTAGGACCTTCTGCAGCTTCCTACCAGATCTTCGTTTTCCAATTAGCAATCCTTTCCTTATCTTTAGTTTCATCACTCATATATGCATCATTGTACAATATAGTTTAGTGATACCTGTTTTTGAGCTTCATATTGAATCATACTATATGTGTTTATATCTTTTTCTCAGCATTGTGTGTGAAATTCATTCATATTGTGTATAGCTATAATTCTTTTTATTGTTGTATTCGTATCAACATTTTTTCATGTGACTCTTCATAAACAATTGAAAGATTGTTTTCAGTTTTTGCTTTCAGGAAAGTGCTGTTAGGAATCTTCTTGTCTATATTTCTTGGTATCTTTGTACTAGTATTTATCTTGGTTTACTAGGGTATGAGGGTCAATTTCATCTTGAGCCTAAAGAGTTATCTGGAGAACTTTAAACATTTTCAGCTGATTTTTTGGGCTACTTCTAGTTTGTCATTGTGGTTAGAGAATATGGGCCTGTGACTTTCAGCTATATTATTAGCAGTTTCTTAGACTTAACTGTTGGTGTTTTTGTTGTCTTTTTATTGCTGTTTCTTGTGTTACACTCTCTGCCACACTGTCCCCTGGGTATATTAATATTTGAGTCTTTTCCCATTTTTTTTTTTTGGAACCAGGGATTGAACCCTGGTTAAGTGGGTGCTTAACCACTGAACCACATTCCCACCTTTTTAAAATTTTATTTTGATACAGGGTCTTGCTGAGTTGCTGAGACTGGCTTTGAACTCTTAATCCTCCTGCCAAGCTGCTGGGATTAAAGGTGTGCACCACCATGCCCTCTTCCCAGTTCTTTACACTTTCATTGTTGGTTTTTATTTTTACAGACGAAAAGTCTGATGCTTGTCTGAGTCGTCTTTCTGCGTTCCCCCCCCCGCCCCGCCCCCTTTTCTGGAAACTGGTTTGGTTTTCTCTTTAACTGTGAAGTCTGGATTTTTTAAGTTGTCAGTTTTTCTTTGGGGCATTCAGAGCTCTTAATATTCTACAATCTTTCTTTAGTTCAGCAACAATTATCTCTTTTATTTCTTTTTTTTTCTTTCCCTGAATTCTTTGGAAAAATATTGGATTTCTGTATTTTTACCTTCTGTGTCCCTTAACTATTCTCTTATTTCCAATTCTTCTGTCTTTTCCCCCCTTATCTTTTTTCTCCATATTCTAAGTGAATGACACAATTTGGTCGTCTTCATTTGTTTTGTTTTTGCAGTGCTGGGAATCAAACCCAGGGCCAGATGGCATGCTAGGCAAGTATTCTACACCTCCAGCCCCTGCAGTTTGGTGTTTTTAATCATAAATACTTTATTCAGTCAAATCCATTGTGCTCTCTGGCCCATTCAATATAATTTCCTCTCCTCTCCTTAAAATCTTGTGTTTTATTTCCCAGAACTGTTTTGTCCTTTGCATAGTAATCTGTTTTATTTAGTAAATGCAATAGCTTCCCAGTTACTGCTAAAGATTCCAGTTAGTGTTTTTTTTTTTTTTTTTTTTTGTTTCCTTTACTAGTAATGCTTCAGGTCACTTGTTTGGCTTGTTTGACAAGGGACTTTTCAAGGTTGTCATTTAGTTCAGCTATCTGATGATACTTGGTTTTCTGCTCATTTATAGATGAGATATACCATTGGTGAGTATCCAATTGTTTATATGGGTATCTGCAGAATTTTCCTTTTTCTTTGCTGTGGTCTCCTATTCCTGGTTTGCAGACCTTTGCTCTTCCTGTGGCATAAGGATAGGGAGGTACTGGCAGGTGGGATTTTCCAACTCCCAAGTGAAAGAAAGAGATAATCTGTTAAGAGATTTTGCTGCTGCATCATTGTATTGAAAACATTTTGTCCACTCTTACTGGGTCTGACACGTATAGTAAGAGGCCATCAAGCTAGGCTTCCTGTAGAAGAGCCATCCTTACCAACTGTACTTGGGACAAGTACAAAAAAGAATGTGTGGTTCATCTTAAAAGTTTCCTTTAACTTTTTCAGTTATTCCCCAAGTTATCTAGATTGAGTATGGCTTTCTCAAACCAGCAGTCTGATTCCGTCTGCTTTCTATTTTCAAAAGTGTTCTTGTAGTTTTGGTTCACCGATGGTATTCTTCTTGTTTGTTTTCTTAGTGTAGCAATGAGCTTTCTTTTATAAAATTCTTCTGTCATTTCAGTGGGGTTATGAAGGTCAGGCCACATCTTGAAATAAAATTCCTCTTTGGGTTCACAACTCTAACTAGCTTTGTTTTGGTTAAATTACTTGTGTTTTTCTGGAAAGTGTCATTGCTCAGGGACTAGGTGATGGTTATAGGTGAGGCTACATGTCAGAATCCTCTAAGAACTTTTTGAAAATAGGTTCTCTGAGAGCAAGTTCTGAAAGTAGCATTTTTAAAATGCTCTCTCAGTAACTGATGTATTCCAATTTGTATGTGGGACTTTTAGTTTAGGTATGTTCTTTACATACCAAAAATAGTCTGGTTTGGAATATATAATTTAGGGAAATGAAGAAAGGATGAATCACATTATTTTGGGAGCTGCTGCTTGCTTGCTTTTGTCATTCAGTTTCTAAGAGATGAATAATAAATATCTAAAAAGATGCAGATTTAATACAAATATAAGTTTATTCTGCATTGTGGGTGTGTGTTTGTGCCCACATAAAATTTTCCAGCAGAATTATATCTTCTGAGATAATGACTTTCGTAAGAATTACACTATCAGAATAGCTAAGAGCAGATGTTTAGATACTGCTGAGATTTTTGTTGGTTTGGTTTGGTCTCTAGATCCTAGTTTCTTGATCTCAGACATTCTGAGTACTAACCTAAGCTCACCTTCATGGTTAAAGATGTATGTCTACACCTGTGCCGTGGCCTAGGAAATTTGTCCTTTTGAAAAACTTTGCCAAAACTGTATATAAAGGCCTTTCCTAAAAAACACTCAGATTAATTTGAGTATGAACAGTAAATTGTGTTTTAGGTATTTTCTAGTTAAGAATGTTTTTAGAAAGAAATTGGCTCTTTAGTGAAGTGATTATTTTATAGTTTTTAGTTTTGTGAAGTATCTACTCCTTTATAACACATCTGGCCTTTTTAAATGTGAAGCAGTTGAATTTGTATAAAGATTCAGGCTTTTCAAGTTAAAAAAAAAAGGATATTTAAGGAATCAGTGGTTTAGTATTGACCTTATACACATAACCAAATAAATAAAATAATATTTTAAATTAGCTTATGTTTAAATTTTTTTTTCAGTTTTATATTTGACTTATTGCTTTTTTTATTCCTAAGGCAGCGGTTAAAATGTTTAAAATTATTTTTAGAAGGCCAACAAATGTATTTTTCAAATCAAAGCTAGATTTTAAAATAAAATTTTTAATAAATTGTTTTAATGTTAGTAAACCCTCTGTTAGTGGACTGCAGTGATGAATGATTGATAGTTTGACCTTAAAGCTGTAGTACTGGTGTTCTAATATACTCAGCATGTGTCTATTTGTTCTGTGTAGAACTGGTAAATTATTTCTGTATTTCAGAATGGAACAACAGAAGAAGTGACTTCAGAAGAGGAGGAGGAAGAAGAGATGGCTGAAGTAGGTATTTTATGTAAGAAAATAATTTCATAAATATCTTCATTTGTGAACATTTCAGTTATGTTTTTTAAATTTTTAATTTTTTAAAGATATTTGTTTTTTAGTTGTAGTTGGACACAATACCTTTATTTATTTTTATGTGGTGCTGAGAATCAAACCTAGGGCTTCCCACTTGCTAGGTGAGCATTCCACTGCTGAGCCACAACCCCAGCTCCTTCAGTTATTTTCTTTACTCTCTTTTTAAAACTAATGTTAATGTGGAATAATGAAACACATGTTATATTTGGAATGGAATATAGTTTCTAAACTCTGGCTTTACCTCTAATTAATGATAGACGTTTTTAAAGAAAAATGAAATTATGGCATTTACAGGTAAATGGATGGAACTAGAGAATAATCATGCTAGTAAAATAAGCTATCCCCCAAAAACTAAAGCCAAATGTTTCCTGTGATACATGGGTTCTGATCCATAGTGAGGCGGGGTGGGGGGCGGGAATAGGGAAGAATGAAGGAACTTCAGTTTGTGTAGAGGGGCATAAGGGGACAGGTGGGGCTGGGAAGGATGGTAGAATGAGACAGACATCATTACCTGCCATTGTCCAGCTGGGAGAAATAACCGGGAGATGACAAGCAACTTGAAGGTTGAGGCGGGAACTACTTTATTGCGAGTGCACTGAGTGGGAACTGAACGGGAACTCAAAGTAGCGGGTATCCTAGGTAGCAGGCACCGCTTCTCTGCCGGACTGCAGAGGTACATATACCCAACTAATTACACACAACTTAATTAATATAAACTAGATACAGCAGTCAGTCATTAAGAAATCCTTATCATCTTAATGGCTCGCTGGCGTTGGCTCAGAAACCACTCCTCCTAGCATACTGCCAGGCGCCATCTTAACTTGGTTGTGGCCCTCATCAATTACCCTATATACATGTATAATTACACTAATGGAGTGACTGCACCATATACAGCCAGAGGAATAAGAAGTTGTGCTCCATTTGTGTACAATATGTCAAAATGAATTCTACTGTAAAATATATTAATAACAAAAATGATAGGGCTTTGAGCAAATTATTCTGACTTCCTTGAATTTGATTTTTCAGATTGTAAGAATTTGCACTAAAACTATATTTACATTTAATAGTAATCAATATTTAACTCATATTTGGTTATTTTTAGTGAAAACTACTGGGTTTAAGAAGTTTTTTATTTTTTTCTTCTAATTAGTTACACGTGACAATAGAATGCATTTTGACACATCATACATAAATGCAGTATAACTTCTCATTCTTGTTGTAAATCAAACTGGTCGTGTAGTCATATATGTACATGGGGTAATAATGTCCGACTATTCTACTATTCTTCCTACTTTCATACCCCTTTTCCCTCCCTCAGGCCCCTCTGCCTAATCCAAAGTATCTCTATTTTCTATTTCTATATCCCAAATCGTGAATTAGCATCTGCATATTAGAGAAAACATTTGGCCTTTGTTTTTTTGGGATTCAATTTTATTTCACTTACCATGATATTTTTCAGCTCCATCCATTCACCTACAAATGCCATGATTTCATTCTTCATTATGACTGAGTAATATTCTATTGTGTGTTTGTGTGTGTGTATTTTATATATATATATATATATATATATATATATATACCGTGTTTTCTTTACTCATTCATCTGCTGAAGGGGATCCAGATTGGTTCCATAGTTTGGCTATTGTGAATTGAGTTGCTATAAGCAATGATGTGGCAGTGTCACTGTAGTATGTTGATTTTAAGTCCTTTGGACTTAAAATTGTGAAGAGTGGGATAGCTGGGTAAAATGATGGTTTCATTCCAAGTTTTCTGAGGAAGTTTTACATTTGAAAAAAGGAATTTGAGAACATTTTAGGGACTACTCATTAGGAACAAATGATATAGTCTCTTGTAGAAAAACCATCTAAGAACTTTATTTCAGTCTGTTTTGTGGTCCTGTACTTAGACTACTAGAGACTAGGTAATGTGTATCAAGAAAAGAAATTGATTTTCTTGCAACTCCAAAAGGCTGAGAAGTCCAAGATAAGGTGCTAGTATTTGGTGTCTGTTGAGGGTCACCTTGCTGTGTTCTTACATGGTAGAAGGCAGAAGGATGTGACAGCGGGTTAGCCAATGCTGTGAAGCCACTTTTATAAGGGCCTTAATTTCATTAGTGAGGAAGGAGCCCTTGAGGTCTAGTTATCTCTTTAAGGCTCCACCTCTGATATCGTCACATTGGTGGTGAATTTTGGAGGGGACACATTTAAACCCTAGCAAATTTAGTGGAGCAAATTTCAAAGACAAACTAAGTAGTTGTTAGATATATAATTTTAGAGGTTTTTAGGCTCTGAGACTTTTCATTTAAACTGAAACTTTGGAAGGCAGTTCTATGTCTTTGAATAGACCAGATAAAAAAATATATGGATTCCATGGTCTTGACTTTAAAAACTTTTTTTTTTTTTGGATCTTATTAATTCAGGCTTTTACCTTATTTGAAAAATTTTAATCTAAAATACACTTTCAGAATGCCTCAAACCTAAAGAAGTAGTAGTGGGCTTCTGGAAGTAAATAATTCTCAAAATTGTCCTGTTGGAATGACTTTTTGGAGTAAACTGTTTAATGTTTCCTTGCAGTTCATTTTAGGTGAAATAAACTTTATGAAAACATTAACCCATTTTGTTCCATCGTTGCAGATGTGGAATAACCTGTAAAAATTTACAGTATATAATTACATATAGTATAATAATAAGTATATAATTATATAATAATGTATAAAAGCTCTAGATTGTGATTTCCAATTTATTTTATTGTACCTAAATATTCACAGAATTTAAAAGTTGGGACTTAATGGGTTAAACCTTTTCAATGGGTTTAGTATATAATGAAGTATAAACATTGTACTCAGAGTTCAGATATTTTTCATTTTTTTCCTCACAAGGTAAAACAGTGGACAGTAATGCTTAGGAAAATCAAGAAGAGTAGGAGTCTAGACTTTGGAGATGTAGGATAGGTAAAAAGAAGATATTCCAGGCTACTAAAATAACGTGGGGATGGCAAAGGCTCAGAACAACCTTGGACACAGGTGTATGGATGCTATCCTTTTGGGAGAGGAAATTGATGTGTTGGAGTCATGGTAAGCAAGATTGGTTAGGAAAGGCAGAGGGTTAAAAATTTTAAATTAGTGACAGACATTTATATTTGTATACTTATTGATAAGAATGTCATTAGCAGGGAGTAGTATGACAAGATATTGTTTTAGAAAGATAATGATTAATTTTCTCTGGGATGTGCTGATGAGGATTCAAGTGGCATTTTATGGATAAGAATGTGATTGAGGGTGAAGAGGTAGGAAGAAGAGAAAGGCTAAGGGCATTTATGAGAACTCTGCAGGAAACAAGGATAGGAAGGAAGATTATGGTTCAAAAGTGCTCATCATAAGAGAGTTTCATGAAATGGAGTCATGGGCTGGGTCTGAATAAGAACAGAATGTCGTAAGACCTGAAGGTACGGCATTCTAAGAAAGAGACCCACAGAGTCTGGACACAAGGTGGTCATTAGGTTGGTCTAGAAATCACAGTGAATTAGTCTGCTTGGAAAAATGAAGATTGTAATTAGAAATTTTTGCAGTTGAAGTAGAGAAAAGCTAGATACTTGAAAGAATTAGGATTTTAAAAATCCTGCATAGATTTGTATATGTGTAAGAGCAGATAATACAGGAAAAAAGGGAGCAAAATGATGTGGTAAAGATGTTGTTCTAGGGGTGGTATTCAAATTCTTTTTCTAATAAAAGTTAGTAGGTGCTTACATAGAAAACTTGGAAAAGCAATAAATATTCATTTGGAGGTAACAACTGTTGTTAACATTTTAGTATGTCTTTCTAGTTGTTCTTTTTTTAGTACTTCTTTTGGTATAATTGAAATTCTGTGATTTCCATTTTGTATTTTGTATTTTTCATTTGAAAGGGTTTTTTTTTTTTTGATACAGAAGAAATAATTATTCTGTGTTGGTATTTTAATTTCCTTATAGTACTCCATTGAATTAATGGTTTTACTGTGTTTGTAACATGCAGATTTTGTGTTTGCTTTTGTGGTTATTAAGATGAAAAGGCATGGTTATGTCTAAAGTGTGTGTTCACATTTTAGACTGGTCAAAGTTAGAATTCTAAAAGTCAAGTTTCTGGAACAAAGTATGAATAGTTAACATTTTTAATGTCTGCTGCTAAACTGTTTCAGAAGTTTGTTTCATGCAGATGGTATATACCTGTAGTCCCAGCTACTTGGGAAGCTGAGGCAGGAGAATTGCTTGAGTCCAAGAGTTTCAGACCAGCTGGGCAACATAAGGAAAACTCTAGTTAAAAAAAAAATTCTTAATTGATTTATAAGATGGCATACTTGGTAACAGTCATGATTTTTATAAAACTTAGTTCTGCCTTACTCATAGTCTGGCTTTTAAACAAAACATAGAATATCATAGAAGGGAACCTTTTGAATTCAATTCCTCTCCACCTCGCTGTTGAATGGATGCAACCTCTCTTTCCTGTTCCTTTTTATTCTAGTCAAGAGTAACTTAACTTTAGGGATAAGAAACTACTGAAGAAAAATAACTTGAATAAGCTATTATTTTTCTTCTTTTTGTAGGATATAGAAGACTTGGATCATTATGAGATGAAGGAAGAAGAGCCTATTAATGGGAAAAAGTCAGAGGATGAAGGAATTGAAAAAGAAAATTTGGCAATATTAGAAAAAATTAGGAAGACTCAAAGGCAAGACCATTTAAATGTAAGTGTGTATAAATATCTAGAACCTGGACTTTTGTGGTTAAGTAATTATAGATAATATCAGGCAATTCATTCGGAGACCAATCTTAGATGGTCTCTTCTAACCCTGCTTGTGTATTCAATCATATTTTTTTGACGAGCCACTTTCTACTCTGGTCATCTACTCTTTTCATCCTGGAACCATCTGTGATCTTGTTGTGTGCTCCCCTTTTCCAGCCTGTTCATTATTTTCTTTGCTTACCCTCTTCCTTGTGGGATCTATATAATCAGATTCAGTCTCTCCTCCAAAGTTCTTACTATTCGGTTTCTTTTTCCTCCATGAATCTGACTTTTGGTCTGTCCTGCCCTGACTGCTTCACACCTCTTTATCTGAAGAAGCATATGGGGGTATGAAATGAACACCGTATGGTGACAAACATGCCTTTGTGACTTCTGTTTCCTCAACTGTAAAGTGTGGGCAAATAACACATACCTTTTGGATGCCTGTTGGGAGAAATAAGAATGTGTACATGTATATGCGTATATATAAATGTGTGTGTGTATATTTATAGACATATGTAAATAATTCCCAAGAGAAGGAAACATCAAAATAATAGTCTGGCTCTCTAATCACTCATTACCACCTGCCTTGTATTATTTCTTTTTAATTGATTTTATTTTTTTAAATACATGACAGCAGAATGCATTACAATCCTTATTACACATATAGAGTATCTATATCTCTGTATATAAAGTATATTCATGCCAACTTATGCCATTATACATGTAGTCTTTTTTTTGCATTACAATTCTTAATACACATATACCACAATTTTTCATATCTCTGTATATATAGTAGGTTGACACCCAATTCATGTCTTCATGCATGTACTTTGGATAATGATGTCCATCACATTCTACCATCCTTGCTAATCTCTGCCTCCTCCCTTTCCCTCCCTCCCCTCTTCCCTATCTAGAATTCATCTATTCCTCCCATGTTCCCCCTTCCTACCCCACTATGAGTCAGCCTCCGTATATCAGAGAAAACATTTGACATTTGTTTTATTGGGATTGGCTAACTTCACTTAGCATTATCTTCTCCAGTGCATCCATTTACCTGCAAATGCCATGATTTTATTCTCTTTTATTGCTGAGTAATAGAGTTATTTCTTAATTCCATGAAATCTGAGGACCAGTTACTTTGTCTTAGGCAAACACAGGGAATGCATTGTTATGCAAGTAAGTGCCAAGATTTGTAAATAGTTAGAAAATGCTTCCTTCTTCAGTCTTATTTAATGTTAATTTAATATGGCATATCTTTTTAATATAATAAGGAAATTTAGCTAACTACATATCTTGATTATTAAAATAAGTTTGTGGTAATTGAATTAATGATTATACTTATATATCTTTTGATTGACTCCGGTTAAGATGCGTTATTACAAATTATTGAACACTTTTCACTTGATAAACACAATGTTAACTACTTTTTATTTTCTATGCCTTCTCATTAAATTTTTATAGCCACTGTATGAAATAGATGATCTTTCTTTATATTTTACAGATGTGAAAACTAGGACTTAAATCAGTTTAAGATCACCTAGTTAGGAAATAATATCTTTGTACTGTTTTTTCCCTTTAAATGTAGTATAACCTTTAAAATCTTTTAAATTTTACATGATTGAAATTTTACATGATAAAAGAATAGTTCCATTCATATTTAGTCTTAGGATAAGATATCGGCACATTTTCCTCTTTAAAGAAGTCCCAGTGTAATTCTAATTCTACACTGTTACAGAGTCCATGATGGTCTGGTTATGTTGGGTAGACTCACCCTTACTCCCCCAGATTATAAGAAACACTAAATGAACCAGACTTATCCCCCCAGTTTTATAATCCTTTGAAACTTGATAATCCTTCATTTAATTGAGCTTTTTTCGACTTCTTGAAGTATAGAATGGTAATTCATTTTTACAAACTCATTGTAAACTTTTATGTTAAAATCAAATACCTTAAATCTAATTACTTGCCTCAATAGACCCTGTAAACAGCAAGTTTTACGTTTCAGGGTGCGGTGTCTGGGTCAGTGCAAGCTTCAGATAGACTTATGAAAGAGCTCAGGGACATATACAGATCACAGAGTTATAAAACAGGTAAGGACTCCTGGATTTCTACTGTCTCTGTTCTTTTGCTCATTTCTATTTTCAGCTTATGTCATTTCATATAACTGGATAGAAATAGAAATGTTTATTAACTTTTATAGATGCAAAATTCCAAAAGATGTAGGAGTTCCAAAAGATGTAGGAGATAAGATAGGATGAGTTAAGTTTTTGGATCAAAGAAAACTTTTTTTATAGATACATCATGTTTTCACCTTCTTCCTGATCTTTTTGAAAAAGCATAATATTGCTTTGTAAAATTTTTTAAAAAAATTTTTTTAGTTATACATGGACACATTATCTTTATTTTTTTGTTTTATTTTTATGTGGTGCTGAGGATCAAACCCAGTGCCTCACAAGTGAAGCAAGTGCTCTACGCTTGCTGAGCCGCAACCCCAGCCCCTTGTAAAATGTTTTAAGATTAAATTTTGTATATTTCATTATGCAAAGAGAATTTTGCCAAAGTTCATTTTTATTAAAAATAATAAACTCTTGCTACAGAGGTAGTTATGGTACTATTTTAAAAATAGATGGATTTTTTTTCTTTCTTTTTCTTTTTTTTGCCATTTCATAGTTTGACTCTTTCTTACCCAGTAAGATTTGAATATTGTGGAACCTCTTTAACTAAAAGTAAACTACTTGTTAGAGTATTATTAGGGAGAGAACTGATCTTTGGGGGGAAAGTTAGCATTATGATCTATTCAAGAATCCTCAGTGATTATTTGAAAATCATTAGAATTGCTTAGAAGCTCAAAACAACCCCTCCACTTAGAGTGCATGATAAGCCGAATTTGAGTTATCAGAACTTTGAGTACCCCAATAGTTTTTCTTACGAGAAGTCTAAAAGTTCTAGCTGTAGAAACCTAGACAGTTAAGTGTTTGGATACTAGTTTTATCTTCAAATGTTAATCAATAACTTAATTTGTTTTAGCATTGTTTATACCAGCAAAAAAAGAATAATCAGATAGTAGGTAGAATTAGTTGAATTACCACATTTTTTTTTTTTTTTTAGTTGTAGATGAACACAATACCTTTATTTTATTTACTTATTTTTATGTGGTGCTGAGGATCAAACCCAGTGCCTCACACATGCTAGGCAAGCGCTCTACCACTGAGCCACAAACCCAGCCCCAGAATTATTACAATTTTTGAAAAGATTGACAGTATAATTTATGTATACTGACTTGGAGAGATGTCCCAGAAAGTTTAAGAATGATCATAAAACAATATATGTAGGATTCCCTTTTTTTAGAAATGTTTCTTCATATACATAGAAGAAAAGTCTTAAATACATATGATTTTGTGTAATCTATTTTTTCGTAGGTAATGGTAAACAGTTTCTGAATTCATTAAAGAATCTTCTTAATTTATAGCTTTAATTATCTGTTAAAGGTATAAGAGACTTAGTCCCAGTGGTCAAATATTTACAGTATAGTGGAGGTGTTTCATTTTTTAATAGCAAAATTTATAGATTTGTTGACTATTTAGTATTTATGCTTACACCAGAGTAATAGTTATGCAATCAAATGAAGAATAACCAGCATGCCTTTTATCTTTTCAGGGATTTATTCAGTGGAACTCATAAATGACAGTTTATATGACTGGCATGTTAAACTGCAGAAGTAAGTGGCTTTTTGGTGCTAAACCACTCTTTGCAATGTCAGACTATCACAATAAAGTGGGTTTTTTGCTTCTGTTTTGACACCTTTATAATACAGCTTTTATTTAGAACTTTAGACCTTATTTCTATGGAAATAAGGTTGTTAAATTGAGTGGTTACTAAGGCTTAGTAAATGTCTGAGAAAGAGGTACCAACTGTGAAATAGTGGTTCACGGACTTTGTGACAATGGCAACTTAAAAACAAAAGTGTATTCAGTAACCTAATGAGGGCTGGGGTTATAGCTGAGTGGTAGAGTGCTTGCATAGCATGTGAGAGACACTGGGTTTAATCCTCAGCACCACATAAAAATAACTAAAAGGTATAAAAAAAATTTTTAAAGTGTGTTCTGCTACAAAAATTACATAAATATGAGGCCACATTAAGGATAGCTTAAAAAAAAATAACCTGATGAGGCTATAATATAACCCATTTATGTTTGAAATAGGGGATTTGGGTATATTTATATGACTATTAAATATATGACTTGTGTATATTTGTATAACTGCTTTGGAAAACTATTTGGTATAGGAGATATTTGTACCCTCTAGTTCAGGAAGCATATACTTCACAAGAAATGAGTACTTGGGCATGCCAGGAGACAAATTTAGATTTTTATTACAGTGATTGACTTTTCATGGTTTTGTCAGTGATAGATTTCTCTCCTGAACCCCTTGGCTAATAATGTAATTTTAGGAAGGCTTGTTAAAATGTTTTTGAGTTCTTGAGAAAATTATGTACATATGACTATTAACTTTGAATTCCCTTATTAGGATACATTTAGAGGAGCTGGGGTTGTGGCTTAATGGTAGAGCACTCGCCTAGCATGTGTGAGGCCCTGGGTTCGATCCTTAGCACCACATAACAAGTAAATAAATAAATAAAGGTATTGTGCCCAACTACAACTAAAAAAAAAAAAAAAAACTAAGAGTACTACTATTTATTTTTGGCATTTATTCTCAAGGAACTACAGACCATATTGGCCTATTTTTCCTGGGGCTCTAGAGTAGCATTAGAATTTCTTTGTGTGAAACTTACTCTGAAGCTATGCTTTGGCTCTTGGACTGGTTCATATTTGAGTTTAGTAAGAAAAATTCTCTAATTTTCTGTTTGAATTGGCTCTTGTTTTGTTATTCTTAGGGTTGACCCTGATAGTCCGTTGCACAGTGATCTTCAGATCTTAAAAGAAAAAGAAGGCATAGAATATATTTTGCTTAACTTCTCTTTTAAGGTAAGAATATAGTGATGGGACTTCATAGGTTTCAAATGGGAGTGTATATTTGTATAACTGCTTTGGAAAACTATTTGGTATAGAAAACATTTGTACCCTCTAGTTCAGGAATTGTCTAAGCATATACTTCACAAGAAATGAGTACTTGGGCGGGTCAGGAGACGTACATAAGAATGTTGAAAGCAGCATTGTTTATAATAGGCCCAAACAGTAAATAACCCAGATTTCAATTAAATGGAGAATTATGGTATTCATAAGAAGTAACACAGCTATATGCGACAAGATGGGTGAATTTTAAATACAGTGTTGAGCAAGAGAAAGCAGATCTCTAACCTGTTTTAAACGGTTCCATTTAAGTAGAGTTCAAAAATAAATAAAACTAGCATTGTGTTGGGCATTCTCAGTGGAGGCACTATCACCCCAGTGAGGTGAAAATTGATCCTTGGTGTGAAAAAAAATCCATTATATGGTCCATGGCTCCCCAGAGGGCCACAGAACAAACAAATATGCAGTTCTGTGGTGTCAAAATATAGAGGGGTTGGGTGGGTTGAAATTAGGAAAAATTTTTCTAAAAGGATTTCTGAGGGTGATAAAAATTAAAAGAAGGCTAAGAAATGCTGACATGGATTCATACCTGGGCCAGTAAAACTTATCAAGAGCAAAGATGTGATTACCATACAGGTTAGGATAAGGAGTCCATGTAGGAGTTGAGAGCTAAAAGGGCATTTGTGTGCTCCTTGGATACTGACTGTAGTCTTTCTTGAGCAGGGTGTTGGTTATGTGGGCACATGCCTTACAATAGCCTGTTAAGGTGTACCTCTATATTTTATACACTTTTCTGAATTTATTATATTTAGTAGTTATTCTTAAGATGCTACAAATATTTAAAAAGAATAGCAATGGAATCTATATTAAAATGTTTTGATAAAATGTAGTGGCTTAAAATTTTAAAAATATATTGAATCTTTTGATTAAAAACACTAGGAATTATCCCTAAGTAGTTACATTTGAATTATATGTAACTTCTTTTTGATTGGCTCTTTTAAATTGTGAGGAAAAATTTACTCAACAATGCCTACCAGATATTTTTTTTCCCTCATTTCAGTTAGGTAGCTTTTATGCATTAGGTGATGGAGGGCTTTAGATCTGGCATCATCTAAAATATCCCTAATCTTCAAGAGCCTATAGTCTTTCTGGGGGAAAATCATTGTGATGAAGGCTGTAGGCCATTTTTGGAGGTTATGGTGAAAAGTCTGGGCTCTCACCTTTATGTAGTAAAGAGCCATTAGAGGTTTTTACAAAAAGGCATAGTTGATCTTTGAGGATTTTTCTTTTTTATTAAATAGTCATTGTGCCTTCAGTGGCATAGCTGAGTTTGGGCTAGAGTACATTTCTGGAGGATAAATTGGGTTTTATAATTTAATCTTGACAAGAAATGCTGACAGCCTGGCATAGGTGGTAGTAGGAGTAGGTGAAAGTAGATGGATATCAGGTGTTTTGAAAGAAGAAAACAAAGACTTGAAAAGAATACTTACAGAAAGAATGGCAATAATTTTTTGAAAGCTGCTTACTTTGGTTTCGTTTGTGTATATTCTGATTTGGGATATCTTATGACTGTACTTCTTGAAATAGCCTAAACTTTTAGTATTTTTTTCTCAGTTTTGTTAATGCAGAAATTATTTCAGTTATTACCTAGGGTTGTTTCCTAGAATGTGAGTTTGGCATGTATTTACTGAAGTTAATAATCTTCACTTTTACTGAATTTATATGTGGCAGTGAATTAAATACCTAAGCAAAACAAACCAGCAAACAAAACTACTGAAAACCAGGAAGGTATTTAAAACAAAACAAAAAAACAAAAACAAAACAAAACAAGCAAACAAAAAAGAACCTCTTGCAAAATATTTTGTCCTGAGAAAATCATTGTTAAATCATATACTCAGATGCCCAACACCAAGCTTAAGAAATAGAAACTTATCAGTACCTTGAAGCTACCTACTTTGTGCCCCTCCCTTTCACTTCCTCCTTGGAAGCTATTTTTATTTTATTGATTGTGCTGCTGAAGATTTGAACCCAGAGCACCCCCTGCATGCCAGGCAAGCACTCTTCCAATAAGCTATATTCCCAGTCCTTTTTATTTTATTTTGAGACAGGGTTTCACTAAATTGCCCAAGCTGACCTTGAATTTGTGATCCTCTTGCCTTAGCATCCTGAGTAGCTGGGAATACAGGTATGGGAGGTCTTTTAAGAGGAATATGAAATCTTGGTCAGGAGGATTTGTGACTGCAGGTAGTGTTTTCATTATTTTTTCCTGCCCTAGGTAGAACTTCAGGGAGGGGACGATCTGGGAGGTAAATGGCTGAAATTCTATTGGATTTGTGTTACTGGACCATGTCTCCTGACAGCAGAAAGAAGGGCCTTTTCTAGGGTTGGAGTGTTTCTTAAGAGACCTGGGAAGAATGTGATTGTCCTGAGCTAACTGACCTTATGAAGAGGACCTTAAACTGAATTGCCAAGTTATTAGTATCGGGATTCACAGACTTTGGAGGATAGCAGGTATGACTCAGAAAGAAAGACTCACAGGAAGGAGCCAGAATTAAATATATTTATGGTCTTGGATATCCATAGACACAACTTGAGAGTCATGGATAATAAGAAAAATAGAACATGAAGTATAACATAAGAATGGGAATGGTACCTGGTCAGCAACTTTGTAAATCTGTTCCACGAGTTTTTTTTTTTTTTTTCCTCCCCATTTAGTACTGGAGATTGAACCCAGGGCACTCTACCACTGAGCTATATCTGCAGCCCTTTTTATTTTTTATTTTAAAACAAGGTCTTGTTAGTACAGAGGTTGGCCTCAAACTTGCCATCATTCTGCCTGAGCCTGGCACTATAGGTGTGCACCATAGTGCTTGACTGAACACTGCTTTTAAGGAAGTGATTTTTTTCAGGTCACATTTGAATCATTGCACTGAGTTAGTAAAGAATGGTTTAGACAGACAAATTTTGGTTCATTTAGAGAATAGTAGCCAGGATTGGAAAAAAGATTCTATTCCATGTCCTAAGATTATTAAATTTGTAGAATTGGATAGTAGAACATTAGAGTTCATGATAACTTGTCTTCAGCTATTTGTATGACTGTATATTTGGAAGCATTAGTTTTATTTGTTTTGATGTACACAGGATATAAAACTAGAACTAATATGTCAAATTATAAAGAGGCAATTTTCAACTCTCATAAGGCAGTGATTTGTAACTATTTAGAACCATCTGAGGTTGTAATCTTTCAAAAATAGAATGTTATTCATCCTTAAGAATAGCTTACAAGGCCAAAATGTTATATTGGAAATCAGATAACTTGCAAGCCTGAGAGTCTGTTTCTGACTTAGTGTTCTAAGATAACTCAAGCTTCTATTTAACAGTCACCCTCAAATTTTTTTATTTACTGAACTCCATTTTATTTCTGAAAAATCTTGATTAGTTAAGTTCCAGGGTACAGCATTTTTGGAGCAGAGTCCCCAGGTTTTGATGCAGAAAAATGATTCTGAAGAACTATTTAAAGTGAAGATAGTTCTCAAAAGAATGGGATCACATATTTAAAGATCTAGAAAAATAGAAGTTTAAATGAGGTTCCACTTTACCATGCTTTGCATCCATGCCTTTCATTATGCTGTTAAAAATGAGTAAATGTTGAGCCCTTATTTGAAAGTAGATTATAATAACTTTTATTAAGGTAGTATCTTGTAGGTAGATTTTCTTTCCAACTTGCAATAGAAATTTCAAGATTATCAGTTTAGCCATCAGAAGTGTGCTTTACCTTCTTCTGTTAGCAGGATTGAATTTTCATAATTCTTATGTTCCTCAGAATCAGTCTTACTTGAGAGTAGGCAGAAGGTGTGAGGTAAAGTAAGTTACTGAAATTATGCTGCTGCTTCCTCTCAGTTAAATAAATTTGTGTGGGTTTTATTTCTTGGAAATAACTACATGAGAAAAATGTTTGTTTGGATCTCTTGTCCTCAAATTGGTTTTTAAAAAATGCATTAGTTTCCTTTAATTCCGTTTTGTTTTAATGTAGGCATTGGAGATGATTTCTCATAGACTTCCTGTCATGTCTTCATTAAGGCAGTGTGCCATCTCCCTGTCTGACTGCTCTAAGGGAGTGAGGGGCAGCCTTGGTCTTTTCGCCATCAAGGAACTGACCTCTAGCACTCTGCTGTCTTTGCTTCAGTTCATGGAGGAGAAAAGCTCTTATTCTGGAAGTAGTTTCCAATTGTGTGCTTGTTAGCCTGAGAAGTTGCCAAGTTTTCTTTTTCCTCATCTTTCGAGGCCATCTATATTTTTATCAAGTATGATATTCTTTGACTTTTTTCTTTGTTTCAGTATTGAGCATTGAACCCAGGGTTGCTCTAACCATCAATTTTTGGGCCAAGGTCTTGCTAAATTGCTAAAGCTGGCCTTAAACTTGGAATCCTCCTGCCTCAGCCTTCCAAGTCACTGGGATTGCAGGCATGTGCTACTGTGCCTAGCAGTCCTTGACATTTAGTGTTACTGCTGATATTTGGGTTTAAATTTATCATTTTATGGATGATTATTTTTTATTTGTATTTCATGCTTCATGTTTTTCTCTCTCTTTCTCTTTTAAATTCCAGTTTCCCATTACTCCTACTTGGTAGTTAAGTTCTTTTACTCTTCCTTCTTTTTTTTTTTTTTTCCTAGTTGTTGATGGATCTTTATTTTATTCATTTATTTATATGTGGTGCTGAGAATCAAACTCAGTGCCTCTTACATGCCAGGCAAGTGCGCTACTACTGAGCCACAACTCCAGCTCTTACTCTTCCTTCTTACCCTAAAATTACAGTACATATCCTTGCCTTGTCTGATATAAATTTGTTAATTTGTATTTCTTCCTTGTCAGTAGAACAACCTTGGAGCACTGTGAGTTCACGTACTCCCTGCCTAACATTCTGTTATTGTCATGCATTTTAGTTCTATATTTATCTAAAATCCTACACTTAAAAAAAATTTTTTTTTTTTGGGTTGTCAGTGGAGCTTTATTTTATTTATTTTTATGTGGTGCTGAGGATTGAACCCAGTGCCTCACACATGCCAAGCAAGCTCCCTACCACTGAGCTACAGTCCCAGCCCCCTACATTTTTAAAATAACTAATATTCAGGAGAATCTGTCTGCATATTTGCTACTTTCAAATTCATTCTTCTCCCAGATTCTCATCTGGCATATTTTCTCCTACCTGAATATATCCTTTAGTATTTCTTTCATTGTGGGTCTGTGGATGGGAAAATAAGTATTTTTATTTCATTTTGAAGAGTCTTCATTAGGTTTAGATTTCTAGGTTGGCAATTCTTTATTTTGGTACCTCGAAGATACCATTTTATTATATGTAAACTATTCTTTCTCTTGAAGTACTTACAGTGGTTAAATCTTGTGAAGCCTTTGGTTTTAGAAAATTCTCACCTAGTTCTCTGTTCCATTCTCCCTTCTCCTAGGACTCAATATATGTGATAAACCTTTTCATTATATTGTCTTCTTATTTTTCTACCTTTTTGTTTCAACTTCATTTTAGCTATTTCTGACCTATTTTTTGATCATGGAATCTCTTCTGTACTTACTTAAACTCATCCATTAAGTTACTAATTGTAGTTATTGTATCTCTAATTTTCAGAATTTCCATGATTCAAATTTATAATTTGCAGTTCTCTGCCAAGGTTTTCAATCTTGTCTTTTCTTGAAAATATTCAACAGTTATTTGAAAGCATGTCTGCTAACTCTTAACTCTCTTGTGGTTTTGTGTTTGTTTACTTTTCTTGTTTTCTGATACTGTTATCTTTAAATCCTATATGACTAGTTAATTTTTATTTATGTATTTGTTTTTGGTACCAGGGATTGAACCTGGGGTGTTCAACCACTGAGCCACATTCCCAACCCTTTTTATCTTGAGACAAGGTCTCTCTTAGTTGCTTAGAGCTTCACTAAGTTACTGAGGCTGGCTTTAAACTTGTGATCCTCCTGCCTCTCAGCCTCTGGAAACCCTGGGATTATAGGCATATGCTAACATACCTGCAAGATTAGTTATTTTCAGTGATATTTGTTACATATGAAAAAAAAATTGGAGCTGATTTTAAACCTTGGGCAGTGTTTTTCTCGTGAGAGGATTTACATTTTCCCCTGTCAGGGACTTGGACTGAAGCAAGCCAGAATAATTGGGGATTGAGATGATTTAAAGTTGGACTTGATTCCTGTCCAGGGCAGTTTGTCCTTTAGGATCCCAAACTCAAGAGTAGAAGCCTTATCAGTGCCTCTCCTTGGGGGATTCTGAGCTCAGACTTTGATCTCCCTATCCCTGAATCTGTGAGGGCTACCCAGTTTGTGAACCTCTTATCTTTCTCTCCTGTAGTTTGTGTGTGTGTGTGTGTGTGTGTGTGTGTGTGTGTGTGTGTTTGTGTGGGGAAACTAAGGCAAAAATAGTTGCCTCCCCCCCAATTTGCTTTTTCTTTAACATTTAGCCCTGTAATTGTCACATTTTGTCTACCCTTTCTAGTTATTAGTCAGTTATTGGAATGATTCTTTATTTACAGAGGTCTATTGTAAGTAGATATTTACCAAAACACTATTTTGGTCCTGATCTTAACTTCATTCTTATTTGCTTTGGTTTTTGTTTCATCTTATTTCTTGGTACTGATTTTACTATTGAAATCCTCATATCAGACACCAAATGTGTACATTCTTTATAGATTATTTTTAAATCTTCTAAGTGTATAATATTAAAGATGTTCTTGAAATTAATTAAACTTGCTAATTTGCTCTTTAGGATAACTTTCCCTTTGATCCTCCATTTGTTCGAGTGGTATTACCTGTCCTCTCAGGAGGGTAAGTTTAAGTGATTACTTGTTTTTGATAGTGTGTATCACAATCATTTGGAGAACTAATTAAATTCTAGGGACCTTGATTGCTAGGCTTCTACTGCATGGTTTGATACAGCAGGTCTGGGGTGGGACCTGAGAATTTACATTTCTAGGAAGTTGATATTGCTGATTTGGAGCCCACATTCAGAACCAGTAGTATAAATTGTTAAGTTGTTTATAGGTAGAGTTTTTAATGGTTCCTATTTTTATATATTTACTATAAAACAAGTTTTTTACAAATATAAATTGTGATTGAGGATGTGAGTTATGATTGGAGAGTGATTCCTACATGCTGATGATCACTCCTAAATGGTACTTGTAGGAGTAATCACAAGACATTTCATGGGCCTGTGAAGCTGGGTGGCTGGCTGTTCCTTCTAGAGGAAATAGCTGCAGTTTAGTAGAATCAGATGGTTATTGTCAGAGTTTTATTGAAGTTTATATTGCGCTTTTTCATAGATAGTCTTATGGAGAGAGGGGAAAACGTAAGAATTTGTAGCTAGGTTACTTATGAAGTGTCCTACAGAACCCCAAAGTAGGAGCTGCTAAACTAATTTTGATCATTTTCAGATGGACATTTAATTTCACTTTGTGAGATAATACATTTTGCAGTGATAAATTCTAAAAATATCCAGTCCTTAAGTCAATCATTTCTGTGATTGAGATAGTAATAGTTTAACATTAAGGTAAAAAATATGGATGACTACTGAAATAGACTTCATACCTTTCTCAGAAATGGTCTGCTCCTAATTTATCCAGTATTTATACACTTATTTCTATTTTGCAGGGAATCAAATCATGTGAAAATTATTTCTCAGTATACTCAGAATATGTGTTGACTGTGGTATTGATACTACAGAATAGTTACTGGGCATGGTTTCTGTCTAAAGCTCAAGTAAACAAAAGTATGGCTTTATTCAGTGTATATGGATGTGCTGAGCCCATTCTGATTTCTGCAACACAAATACTATTGCTTTGTAGGAGTTTACTTACCTGATAACCTGTAGCCTAATCCTTTGCCGTATCTCCCATGATCCAAAGGAACCAGAGCAATTGAGGAAGCTGTTTATTGGTGGTCTGAGCTTTGAAACTACAGATGATAGTTTAAGAGAACAGTTTGAGAAATGGGACACACTCACAGATTGTGTGGTAATGAGAGACCCCTAAACAAAAAGTTCCAGGGGCTTTGGTTTTGTGACTTGTGTTGAAGAGGTGGATGCAGCAATGTGTGCTCACAAGGTTGATGGGTGTGTAGTGGAACCAAAGAGAGTTGTTTCTAGAGAGGATTCTGTAAAGCCTGGTGCCCATCTACCAGTGAAGAAAATTTTTGTTTGTGGTATTAAAGAAGATACAGAAGAATATAATTTGAGAGATTACTTTGAAAAGTATGTCAAGATTGTGGTAGTGGTACCAGGAAAAAAAAAAAAACAGACGTCATGGAATACAGGCAGAGTGGGAAAAAGAGAGGATTTGCTTTTGTAACTTTTGATGATCATGATATAGTTGACAAAATTGTTGTTCAGAAATACCACACTATTAATGGGCATAATTGTGAAGTGAAAAAGGCCCTTTCTAAACAAGAGATGCAGTTTACTGGATCACAAAGAGGTCACGGAGGTGGATCTGGCAACTTTATGGGTCGTGGAGGAAACTTTGGAGGTGGTGGAGGTAACTTTGGCCATGGTGGAAACTTTGGTGGAAGAGGAGGCTATGGTGATGGAGGTGGTGGCAGCAGAGGTAGTTACGGGGGAGGTGATGGTGGCAACTATGATGGCAGTCTTGGTTATAGTAGTAGAGGAGGTTATGGTGGTGGTGGACCAGGATATGGAAACCAAGGTGGTAGATATGGTGGTGGAGGAGGATATGATGATTACAATGAAGGAGGAAATTTTGGTGGTGGTAACTATAATGATTTTGGAAATTACAGTGGTCAATAGCAATCAAATTATGGACCCATGAAGGGGGGCAGTTTTGGTGGAAGAAGCTCTGGCAGTCCCTATGGTGGTGGTTATGGATCTGGTGGTGGAAGTGGTGGATATGGTAGCAGAAGGTTTTAAAAACAGCAGAAAAGGGCTACAGTTCTTAGCAGGAGAGAAAGCAACGAGTTGTCAGGAAAGCTGCAGTTGTCCCAAACACATTAGAGGAACTGTAAAAATCTGCCACAGAAGGAACGATGATCCATAGTCAGAAAAGTTAGTGAGCTTATACAGGAACCCCTTCTTGTTCAGGACTGTCATAGCCACAGTTTGCAAAAAGTGCAGCTATTGATTAATGCAATGTAGGGTCAATTAGATGTACATTCCTGAGGTCTTTTATCTTTTGTAGTTTTTTCTTTTTCTTTTCATTACTCAGGTATATTGCCCTGTAAATTGTGGTAGTGGTACCAGGAATAAAAAATTAAAGAATTTTTAACTTATCAAAAAAAAATAAATAAATAAAAAGTTGAGACTCCTACTCTGCTCATGTATGTGATATATTATCCTTAGATGACTCTTGGATTAATTTTTTTCCTTGTGTCCTTTAACTGTCTTAATATTAAGCAGGAACCCTTTGGAGGCAAAGAGCAATAAGAGTTCGGAACATATATTGATAAAATGAATGTAATTCAATATAGAAATGATCACTTCTTTTAGGTATTAATGCTATTAATGGTGCATATGATTCTATTTATATGAAATAGCCACAATAGGCAATCTGTAGCAACAGAAAGTAGATTAGTGATTGCCAGGAAGAGAAGGGTATAGGAAATGACTATATTATCTCACTTTTTGTGGAGGAACTGGAACTACTTGTGTCTTATGTTTAATGACAGTCATTAGTATAACTGTTATGTATTTGTAGAAATATACTTTCTTTTGAACTACATATGAAAACACTTCCTATCTTCCCACCTAATATGACTCTGCACCCTTCAGCGGAAGAGTCTGGTGCTAAAAGAAAAGTTAGTGGTTAGATAATGAGTATTTTAATATCTACTGAATACCTTCTTGTCTAAAGCAATTCCTCCTGTTCCTTGAGCATTTTGAAAATATATAGATCAAATATGATGTTAAATCACAGATTGCTAGACTTTGAGAAATCATGGGAAAACCAAAATTTAAAAGAGAACCTAGATTTTTCTAATTCTGTCAACTCAGTTTTTATTAAATACAAGTGTTTGTTACATTATCTTTAGTCCAAGGCATTCTAAAAGAATTAGACTCTTGTGTTTCAGGAATACAAAAGTATGTACTTTTTTTTTTTTAAATCCTGTGATTCTCCACACAATTTTTTAATGTTTTTCTTTTAGGTTTTCCTTCTCTTCCATTAAACTTCTACTCTGAAAGTTCTCAGTTCTGTTTAGGAGAATCTCCTGCTACTTCAGGATGGGATAGTTAAGAGTACTTACCGTCCTCATCTTCTTATTAAATACTTTCACTATAACAACTATTTTATTTTTTGGGGGGTCCTGGGGATTTAACTCAGGGCGACTTAGCTACATCCCCAGCTTCTTTTTGTATTTTATTTAGAGACAGGGTCTCATTGAGTTGCTTAGTGCCTCACTTTTGCTGAGGCTGGCTTTGAACTTCTCAATTCTCCTGCCTCAGCCTCCCAAGCTTGTGGAAATTACAGTGTGCCACTTTATCAAGCTGCAACAACTATTGTTCAAGTGAGTGGTCTACATAGATGTTTTTAGATTCTCTGCAAAGTCATTTGGTTTGGTTAGCACAAGAATGTATGGTTAGCTGGGATAGATTTGTTGGCTAGAATAGTCTTTGGCAAATTGGGGCAAGTGTGGCTCTGGGAAGGAACCACAGCCAAAGCTTCAGTAAAGGACTGAATGGTTTGTAGTTGATGCAGTGTTCACAAAGACCTAGTTGGTGGCTTTTGCTTGTTTAGAAGAAAAACTGTGGTAATCTTAAAAACTTGCCATTCCCTTAACTTTTTGTCCTTAGGTTTGATATTTAATGTATTTTGAAATTTAAAAGGAGGAATGAAGTTAATTCGAGAAAGGATAAAAAGGTTGAAGAATCTTGATCTAAACAATGATTTGCTAAAGAGATATTTCCACAAATTCTTTGGTTTTAGAGAATAGCTTCAGACCTAGAAATAAATTGAGGAGTCCTAGAGAGAGATTCCATGGTCAGAACCATTTGAAGTTTCACAATACAATGGATAAAAATAATTTACTCCATTAAGTACCATGAAGCTGTTCATTATTATGGATAGAGAAAAGTCAGTGCTTTTGTCAGAGTCAAAACTCTTGGGTGTGAAACATGGTGTAGATAAAGTTTGAGATGTAGAGAACCACTTGAATGCTAGTTAAGGAAACAGTCTTCTGCTCCCATTCCCTGGAGTGCTGAAGGTTAAGTTCTTAGTTAAATCTTAGAAATCTGAATATATTCTGTTAAGAGTCATTATTTTTTAAAATTGATAGTATTAGAGCAATGACATTAATTTTTCAAATTACCCATAGTCCTATATCCCTAACAACTGTTTTCATTTTTGTATTTATCTTCTACTCTGTGTGTATTTTCTTAGTAATGGTACTTAAAAATGGATTAAGAAGAAATGTTGAGATCTAGAGAAATTGGCATTCTTTTTTGTTTTTTAAGGTACGTCTTGGGTGGAGGAGCATTATGTATGGAACTTCTCACAAAACAGGTGATCTTTTTTTTTTATGGTCCTCAATTTTCAGCCTCAATAGTGTTTTGATTATGTAGATTAGATATTAAGGAGAAAGTTCTTATGTAATAGCATCTACTTTTTAAAAAATTTTGTTGTTTCTTTTTAGTTATACATGACAGTAGGATGTATTTTGACATATATACATGGAGTATAACCTCCCATTCTTGTGATTGTACATGATGTGGAATTACACTGGTTGTGTATTGATATATGAATATAGGAAAGTTATGTCTGATTCATTCTACTGCCTTTCTTATTCCCATCTCCCCTCCCTTCCCTTTATTCCTCTTTGTCTAATCCAGTAAACTTCTGTTACTTGCCCCACCCTTCCTTATTGCATGTAGTACCTGCATATCAGAGAGAACATTTGGCCTTTGGTTTTGGGGGATTGGCTTATTTCATCTAGCATGATAGTCTCCAATTCTATCCATTTAGCAGCAAATGCCATAATTTCATAATTTCTTCTTTATAGTTGAATAATATTCTGTTGTGTATGTATATCACATTTTCTTTATCCATTCATTTGTCAAAGGGCACTGAGGCTAGTTCCATAGGTTAGCTATTGTGAATTGCTGAACAGCATCTACTTTAAAAATTTTTTTTGTTTTAATGGCACCTACTTTTTAATAATGAAAAAGTTATTTGAAGTAAACCAGGAAAATGACATTGTACTTTGTGCTGAATCCATGCTAGAATAAGCATTGAGAATGCTATTCATTTAAGTTTATAATTTGCTTATGTGCACACTTAGAATGTAGGATTCTTTTGTTATCTGTAAGGTTCTGAAAGTGGTCCAGCTCTTACCAACTCTTACTCTTAAAAGGGATACCCTTTAATACCAACTTCTTTTTTGATGGGGGTTACTGGGGATTGAACTCGGGGGCACTCAATCATTGAGCCACATCCCCACCACTTTTTTGTATTTAGAGACAGGGTCTCACTGAGTTACTTAGTGCCTCCCCGTTGCTGAGGCTGGCTTTGAACTCATGATTCTCCTGCCTCAGCCTCCTAAGCTGCTGGGATTACAGGCATACTTCATTGCATCTGGCCCAGTTTCTTTCTAATGCTGATTTGCTATTGTTGAGTTTTTATATGCCATTTTGTTAGGGAATACTGCGTGGCTTTGTTTGAGAGACATGTTTTCTTTTTCCTGTAGGGCTGGAGCAGTGCCTATTCAATAGAATCAGTCATCATGCAAATAAATGCCACCTTAGTCAAAGGCAAGGCCAGAGTGCAGTTTGGAGCAAATAAGGTACTTTATTAAAAATTTCACATAAAGCGTAAGATTCATCTTATGTTACCTTATGAAGCTTCTTCCTGTCTTGCTTTCATTCTTTTTGAGACAATTTATTTCATTGTCATTTGATTTGTTTTGTTAATAAAAGTGAACTGTAGAAAAGAAGTGTAAGAAAATTAAGATATTCATTGATAATTATTTAATATCTGTTCTTTTAGTCTTTTTAATAGTCACATAGGCAAACATACCTAGAGTTTTAAACTTATTATTTTTGGTATGTATATCCTAATAAGTAAAAAATTAAAAGTACTTTGTGGTTTCTTCACACTGAGATCACACTTTAAGAGTTAATTCTTAGTCAACTTTAATGTGCTAGACTCCAATCTAAATTTATGTTAACTCTTTGAACTCCCTTAATAACCTAAAAAGGTATGTTATTGCCCCAGATGAGGAAACTGAAAGACACAGAAGTTAGGTAACTTACCTAATGTCATAGTGCCAGAACAAACATTGGAACTAGAGAGTGACTGTAGTCTTTGCTGTTATTGAATTCCACACTTTATCAGAAACATCTTTCCAGGTAGAATTGTAGTTATCAGTAATATGTAAATGAGCTAAGGATATACACTGAGGGTAGTGTGTTTTTGAAAAATATATGTGTGATGGAAATAATCTTGATTTAATTTTTTATTATTTGAATGTTTTCCCTCAGTGTTCTTTGCAAATGTTGCATTATATACTTGTAACCATATTGCACCTTAATCGTGAGTCTACTAGAGTCTTTTTTAAAAATTTTTTCTTTTTTAGTTGTAGATGGACAAAAATACCTTTGTTTTATTTTTTATGTGGTGCTGAGGATTGAACCCAGAGCCTTAACACATGCAAGGCAAGTGCTCCACCACTGAGCTACAACTCCAGCCCCCACTAGAATCTTAATTCACAGAAAAAGCAAAATGTTGAAAAGGTCATTTTAAACAATGATTTATTTTTTAGCAGGTGTTTCTTTACACTGGAACAAAATATTTTATATAAAATCCAGAAGTTGAACAATTTTCTAGTGTTTAGTTAATTACATCTAACCTAATAGTGTGTGTATATGTGTGTGTATATATATATATATATATATATATATATACACACACACACATACATACTGTTTTAAGGCTTAAATGTGGCACTCAAATGACTATGTATGTACTAAAATGTGATATATTTTGTTTACTTGAAGGTTGGGTCTTGCTTTGCTGCCCAGTCTGGCCTGGCACTTAAGATACTCTTGCCTCAGGCTGCACATTAGCTGGGATTACAGGTTAAATTTTTTTTTTTTTAATGATGAAATATATTCTTCCTAAATGTAGAGTTTGTAAAGTAGATAAAAGTATAAAAAACTAAAAATGTCACTTGTAACTTGACTATTAGAAATATGCCAAAAAGTTAATAGTGTTTCTGGTCTTTTCAATATTTTCTTCCTGGCATCTATTTATATGTAGAACATAATGTTAAATTGGATTCATTTAAAAAAAATTCTAGCTCATTTTCTTTTTAAAAGAGAAAATTTGAAGGGCTCAAACTAATGATCTTATTTAGTAATTGAAAGATTTTGCCAGTACCTCACTATGCAGACTTTCTTCTGGGCCTCTGATCTGTATCTGGAATACAATTGGATAGGTAAAGTCTCCTCCAGTTTTAAAATTCTATCTTTATTGTATGTTGAAGATCTCTTCGAATCAATCAATAAAGTACAGTGATATTGCTTAAAGACAATTGTGCTTTGTGAGGAATGTGTAGTTAGGCAGTTTTGTTATGTGAACATCATAGAGTGTGTTTATAGCATAAACTAAGATGGCTATGATGTCACTAGGTGATATAATCTTTTGGGACCATCATTCTACATGCCGGCTTCCATTGTTGGTTGACTGAAGTGTTGTGACATGCATTAACTGTGTATGTCTTAGAAGTTGAATTTGTTTAGTGAATTGCTATGAAAAAATCACTGTTCATTTTTTCTTATTAAGAAATATTTGTCAGTTAAGAAGTTGGAAACTTTGCATAATGAGTTTCACCTTCTTCCTCAGTTCTAAAAAGTCTGCAGGGAATGGTCTAAATGTTAACTTTGAAATACTATAAAAAAAACCCAAAACCTGAAACTAAATAAAAGCCTGTGAAGCTGCACTCAGTGGAGTATACCTGCAATCATAGCAACTCAGGAAGATAAGGCTAGAAGATTGCAATTTTGAGACTAGCTGCAGCAACTTAGCAAGATACTGTCTCAAAATTAAACAAAAACAAACAAAAAACCTGTGGTAGGGCTGGTGGAGCAGCTAAGTGACAGAACACTTGCCTGGCATGCATGAGGTTCTGAGTTTGATTCCCAGTACCACACACACACACAAAATAACAACAACAACGATGATGATGATACCTGGGATAATAAACCTGGGGGGGAAGAGGTATCAAAGTAAGACACTACTAGGGGCTGGGGTTGTGGCTCAGTGGTATAGTGCTTGCCTGTCACAAGTGAGTCACTGGGTTCAATCCTCAGCACCACATTAAAATAAGTATATAATAAAGGTATTGTGTCCATCCACAACTAAAAAAAAAATTAAAAATAGTAAGCTAAATGGTGTTAAAAATGCTATTTGTGTGTGTGTGTGTGTGTGTGTGAGAGAGGGTGGGGAGGGAAAGACAGAGCATGGGCACATAAGAGAAACAGGCAAGAACATATAGATGTGCTTGTGTAAGCATAGAGTATCTTTGGAAGAGTATGTAACAAGTGCTAATTGTTTCTGATAAGAATTTTAAAAAATATTGGTCGGGATAAGTTAGAGATGAGAGGGACTTTAAATTGTTTTGTGGTCTTTGAATTTCTATTTGCCATTTAACTCTTACTTCAAAATATTAAAAAAAAAAAGATACTGTCAGCTGTTGTTCTAAATGAATGAATTTGCCCTCTGAAAATGTTACTAAAATGATGTAAGTATAAGTACTGAAAAACTGAAGTTTCCCTTCAACAGGCTTGATAGAGGATAGGGTCAGAGGATGGAGCTGAGAACTCAGCAGATCTGTGTAGGAGAGGTAGCAGGAGTTGGGACAGGTAGCAGTACAGTTTTGCCTTGAGTATCTTTTATTTTTGTCCTTTTTGTGAAAATATAGACTGGGTGAATAAAAACACTTTTTAAATTATTTTTGAGATGACACTACTGCTTACTTTATATATTTTAGTTTTTAGATGACATGCCTTATGACAGGGCTTTACTATTTAGAAATTGAAAATTACTACCCTGTTTAAAAAAAAAAAAAAAACGGGAAAAGGATATAATGAGTCTATTTACAGTTTGAACATATGAAAACACACTCAACCTCACCTAGTAATAGAAATGCAAATCAAAAACCACAACTGAGGGCTGGGGTTGTGGTTCAGTGGTACAACAGCCCTTAGGGCCTAGCACATGTGAGGAACTAGGTTTGATTCTCAGCACCGCATATATAAAAATAAATATCATTGACAATGAAAAAATATTGGAAAAAACAAAACACAACTGAATTCTGCTTCCCCGATTGTCAGAAATAGCAAAGATTTGGTGAAGTACTATTAATGAGGTTGTATGGAGGCATTCATAGATGGCTTGGGGCAGTCTTGGAGTGGGCACTTCAAAATTATGAAGGCACATAATGTCTTTTGACTCAGATCTACATTAGCCATTTTACCAGTACTTTGCACATCTGTGTATACGTTGCTCTTACAACAACCGACTACTTGTGCATATTCTTGTAAAATCCTCAAGGATATTAGTTGTTAACTTGGATGGAGAAGGGAACTGGGTGGTTGGAAGTAGCAAAGAAGAAAAAGTTTTCCCTTGGAATGTCCTTGCACTTTTTTTTTCCATTCTTCTAAGCAAATTTATTACTCAGAAAAAATTCTATGACATAATATATTAGATAGGTATATACCACTATGGAGAATGCACATGATATATAGTTTGAAATTAAGATGTATGTCAGTTGTACTCCTGGGGACAAAAACCTATCATATACTTACTTGGCTCCTTAAAGAAGATTATATATTTTTGTCAAAAGAGGACTCCCTTAGTAATAGTTTGGTGCCAACTATGGGCATTTTTTAGATTTTTAATTTAAAAATATCAATCACATGTATAGTACTTGAAGCTTGTTTTGATTTTCTTGTTTGAAAGTAATATTTTGTAGTTTTGTCTTTTTGGATATGTTAATGAGGAAGAGAGCATGGTTTTTATTCATGTCCAAATGAGTATTGTTTAACTTGTCCCCCTCCGTTCTAATGGATCAAGTTAAACAATACTCATTTGGGGGACACTAGAAAGCTCTGTATTTGATCAATGGTAGGAAGACTTATAAAAATGAACCCTGAAGCCTTGAGACTTTTATTGGCATACAATTTTGGTTTTGTTGTTATTAAAAATTGTAGAGAAAAATGAAATGAGATGTGACATTAAGTTAAAATTGTTTCAGAAATAGAAATATTATTGTTTCCTATATTAAGCACAGCCATGATGCATCCATACATTTACTGTAACAATTTTCACCTAGTTACAGTTTTGATTTAAAATGTGTAACTCTCTTTCAGAATCAGTATAATCTAGCAAGAGCCCAACAGTCCTATAATTCCATTGTACAGATACATGAGAAAAATGGTAAGTTTAATTCAATAAGTATTTATTGTCATTTATGAAGTTTTGTAAAAAATGTATTGATATTCTGTTTAATTTTTTTTATCAAGTACAGTTAGCACAGTGAAAAAATTTAACTTGTGCTGCATCCAGAATCTTTGAATGAATCTTTTAACACTCTGGTTCTTTCAGTATCTTTTCAAGTAGATTAATGAGCGAATCATAGCACTCACTTGAAATGTATTCTTTAGAATAGAGAGTGAGTTAAAGGCAACTCCTTATAGGCACAGTTCTTGTTATAATTGGGTAAATGCAATAAGGATCATAATCAGCTCTTTCTGAAACATCTTCAGAGTACTAGTGCTTTTGACAGTTTTATACAATTTTCTATTCAAGTAAGAACAATTCTAATTTCAGCATATACTTCTGAGCAATATCTTTCTTAAAATATCTTTCATTAACTTTAATGGCCTTTAAATTTTGCTTGTATTCACAAGGCACGTATTTTGAGGATTTTGTCTCTTAACAATGAGAGGAAAAAAACAATGAATTAATTGGAAGACCTATTTTCAAGTACCATTTTTTGTCACCCAGTAGGCACTGGTGACCCTGAGTAAGCCTCAATTACCAATCTTTTAAATTTGGCATGTATGTCTTGCCACCCTTGTGAAGGAAGAGTAGTGTGCATGTATAATACTTTGTAAGCAAGTGCTAATAAACACACTCGTCATAGTAGTGACACACTGCACGGTGACCCTTTTGTGCCAAATAAATAACAGGAAGTAGTTTTCCTTAAAGAGGAGAGTTTGTAGTAAATATTCTTTACTTTGCTAGAGATAGGGTAGTTTGTAAGGATTTGTGTTTTACACTCACTTTTATTTTAATGACAAACTTGTCACTTTTTTAGTGATTGCTTGCTTCTGGAAGTAATATTCAAAATAATTTTCAAGCTTATGAGTAAGATGATGATGACCTTCAGGACAAGACCAGGTTTTCCTAATGATCATTTCTAGTGCCCCGCAATGAGTAGATCCAAAACCACTACTACTTCAGAATCATGTAGCTGCCCCACAAATCTTGGTTGTTTCAATGACAGTTTTATACCAAATAGTACTTGGTCTAATTTGCCTTTCTATAGGGAGCTTAGATTTTTGTGGAGCCTGGGAATGATCACATTTTTTCTTATCTTTCATTTTATCTTAAACATTATAAGTGGCATTTAAATACATTTACAGAACTTGCTGTGTGTGTGTGTATGTAAACTTAGCTATGATGAAAGAGCAAGAGATTCAGAATTAGGAGAGATGGATTCTAGTTTTGTTTCTAAATATGTACATATTTTTCATTTATTTAAGTTGACAGATACAATTATTTATTTTGTATGTGTTTTGACATAAATATGTATATATATATATACATACACACATTGAATAACTAAATCTGGCTAATTAACACATTACCTATAATTTTTATGGTGAGAATGCTTACCTGCACTTTTAGTATTTTTCAAGAATACATGTATTAACATAGTTACCATGTAATGCAGGACATAGAGATGAATTCTGTTTTGGTTCTGTTACTATTCACTTGGTTACTGCATCTTCTTTGAGGCTTCTTCATTTGTAAAATAGTATCATTACACTGATGATTTTCAATTTCCTCTTATTTGAAATTTGCTTTTGGATAGTAATATCAGTTAGGTTTTCATTTCACCTTTGTATTTGAAAGTAAACCTAACATGCGATCTACTATTACACACTGTTGTCTTTAGCTAGGGATACCATTAATAACAGAGATCTTATGCTGTAAACTCAAGTACAATTTATGCATAGAAAATAACTTGATGTTGTGAATACAAAATGCTGTGTTAATTCAGTGTAATTTTTACAGTAGGTTTAAACACCAAATTTTTGAAGTAGAGACTCTGCCTAACCTTAAATGCCAGCTCTCCTAGTTGGCTTAAGGATTAAAGTGTTTTAACTTTTTTTTCCATTCTATTTCAGGCTGGTACACTCCTCCAAAGGAAGATGGCTAAATATGTTGACTCTCATATGTTTGGACCAATGTTGCTTTAAAGAAAATCTTTCCAACATGCAGATACAAGCTTTGAGTGCCCCTATAACAGCAGTACCGAAGATGTTAGCTAATAGATATTTTAGTGGATAATCTGTCAACTGACATCGAGTATAAGTTACAGCCTTTTCATTTTGCTCACTTCAGTTATCTTGGACTGAGCAGTGGGGCCTTTACTGTATTTTCCTGATAAATACACTTACTGGCCACTCCTTATCTCTTTTTCTTGAAAAGTGAAATCTTTTAAGCAGGCAAGTCAGCATCAGGTTACTGTGGTTGCGACTTGGCAGTAGCTTTCCTATATTGAGTCCATGGGTTTTGAGGATTTGCAATATACTGTTCCATTTAGAGCCATTAGAAGTTTAATCAATGTTCAATTGGTTTAGAAAATTTTAAGGCTTCTAAACCACGGCCTTTTAAGGTCTAAAACCATTTTATGATATTGCCAACGTAATGACAGGAAATTTACTCATTAAATTGTTAAACTTTTTTATGGCTGTGTGAAGATATGAACTGTTTCCTGAAGATATGCTCTTACTTGAATTGTACGTTTTAGGCAAAGCAAATTAAGGCAATGCCACTTAAGGTTTGTTGAGTAGTAATTTCCACTGGGGCAGCAGAGTCTTGCTGAGCTGAATCGGTTTCTTTTGGTTCAATATTTCTTACAAAAAAGAGCCACAATATAGAGCTTGAAGTTATTTAAAATACTAAGTCATTTTACCTTTCCATTTTATTAACGGGATGTTGCAATGATTTGTAAACTAATAAACTTATAAAGTGATTGGCATGAAAACAGACTTCCTTGAGCAAAAAGCTATATAGTTAAGTACAAAAAGATACCTGATTTGGAGACTCTTTGTTGTCATGACAATGGCTTTTACAACCAAAAGACTAATAGGAACTCGTAATTCTTTTGTACAACCTGACTCAAATCAATGTACTCTCCATTTTACTGCCTTACATGAATCAGTCCTGTTTGGGTGGTGAGAGATTTTTTTTTTTTTTTTTTTTTAATAAACCCAAGTTTGATTTAAAAATAAATTCTAGTTATTAAGCACTTTTAAAAGAAACCCAGAAGCACATTTTTCTGCACAAACCAGTTACAAAGTTGAAACACATTTCTTATGTATTTGCTTTAAGATTGTTTTTAACTTTGTAAACCGTATCTGAGAGATTTGGCACTTATGCATTATTGTGTTTCTTTTGATTTTATTTTGGTTAGGACAGTAGATAAAGATGTTCTGGCATTCTTGCTCACTTTAAATTTATATAAAGCTCTGATTGCCAGCTGCTCAGATAACAAGTGACAAGGCAGAATTCTTTAAAGCATTAAAGTTCCTTAAGCCTAAGGCTAAATCTTGAATACATTATTGAATTCTTTAATATCCTGATGGCTAGCAGATTGACAGCTGCACATTTGGCATGCTTTGTTTTTTGGATTTTATTTTTCATTGCAGATTTATTTGGCAATGTACAGTAAATTTTGTAAACTTGCATCAAGTTTATGAATAAAGAACCATTCAAAAATTACTTTGTCACCTTTCCCTCATAAGAGATATAGTGCTTTAGGTATGCTTCAGGTAGCCTCTATTGAATTTCTGGAATAGGGTATTTAAAGAGGGATGGGATGTGGGGAGGCTTGAGAGGAAGAGAGGCAGATTGACTTTAAAACTAGAAAGCTAGAGAACTTAGAAACTGTGTACATGCCTGGTATCCTCAGCTTTCCCTCAATCTTTTCCCTTATCCACACTCAGCTGTCATTTTCTTCATGGCTGTCTTTAATTTCCCTAGTTTAAATAATCTGTTCCTCCTTTTATATACCTATGGCCTCCTTTTACACAGTTGTCAGGTTATCTCATAAGACGTTCAGAGGTAGGACAACTGTAGGCTCAGTTTATCTGGGCAATACTCTGCTTGAGATTTTTCTGTGCCAGTTTCATCTTTGGATTGAATGTCATGTCTGGACTTGCAGTCACGCCTTACTTGGTATTGGGTTAGATAACGCTCGTTTCTGAGTGTCTCCTTAGGAGATGAGGAAATCTTTAGAAGTCCCACTCCACCAAGAACACTGCCTCTTTAATTTTCCTAGTGCCCACCCCTAAACCAGTGGATGGTGGAAAGAATAAAACCATCCTGATTAGTTTGGACTAATGGTTTTCAAATTTCAGAGATCCTGGAGACCTTTTATTTGGAGGCTTTTAAGGTCAAAACTACTTTCCTAACATAAAAACATTTTGCCGTTTTCATTCATTCTGAAAGGACGGTGGAGTTTTCCAGAGTCTACAATCCACATTTCCTGTTAAGCCAGTAATCAGATTTTCAAAGTGTAAAATGATATCACATTATTTACTACTGGGGGGAGGGAGATTTGGAAGTCAGTTTTCACTTAAATTATCTTAATACATAGAATTATTTTAAAATGTTTAATTTGGTGTCAATATTTAAGTGTGTAAAGGTCCTGGAGGCCAAAAAGAGAACCACTAGTTTAGATCATCCAATTTCACACTCTAGCTGGGAGTCAAATCACGGATGCCTTAGCTAGGAAGAGCGCTGTTGGAATGGATATTAACAGGTCTACTCCCATTCCTTCTGTTGTGGTTCTCTTCCTCAGCATCCATTAGAATTGACACAAAGTTTGTTGAAACACATAATGCTGTGGCGATTTAGTAACCTGAGGTAAAGAGAACATGCTAAACAATAGTTCCCAGGTGAATGATGCTACAGGCGGAGAAACGGTGCATAGTTTAGGGCGAGATTCCCCTGTAATTATTGGCCACCTTACAAAAGGAGGTACTACTAATGCCGGCTTACGCAAAACTAAAAAGACTACAAACTAACTACTTTCACTAGGCGCTGAGTAAAGGCGGCGATTTTTCACAGTAATTTTTTAAAAATGTATCTTGCCAAAAGTTGGGGATCATGCTAAACAAGGATTTTATAAAGACCAATAAATACTGCCTAGTTCCTACACTAAAGGAACTCACGAATTAGACGAAGATGTGAACTGGCAAAATACAGCAGCTCCAAGTACAGTGAGGTTCCGAAGAGAACTCGTTTCTACTGCAGGAGGAAGTTCGGAGCACCAGAAGACGCTCACCCACAACATTCCAGTACAGACGAGCGTTCTTAACTCCTGCGCCGGAAACCCAGCGGCCAAAGGTCACGCAGAAGCCTTCGCAGCGTCCCTTCCATTGCCTGGCCGACCGGAAGTGGCGCCTGCGCCTGCGCAGTGTGCGCTTACCGTGGAATCGTACGCCGGCCTAGCCAGGTGCCTCCGAGCCGCCGTAGTGCTTGTGCGAGCGGGTTGGCGAGGAATGGAGCCGGTGGGCGGTGGCGGCGACCGCTGCGGCTCCTCCTCCGCAGACCCTCGGAGCACCTTTGTGTTGAGTAACCTAGCGGAGGTGGTGGAGCGTGTGCTCACCTTCCTGCCCGCCAAGGCGTTGCTGCGGGTGGCTGGGTGAGGAGAGGGGAGGCGGGAAGCTGACCTGTGGGCATTCCCCGGGCTGGCGTGGTGGGAAGACACCTTCGGGACTTAAGAGCTCCCACGTCCGTCCTGAGGCAACCCCCACCTATGAAGTGCCCTTGCTGTAGTGTTCCGGGAACTTTTCTGAGTGCGAAGTTCCCCCTGAGGTTTTTTTTCCACGTTCGGCTCTTTGGCCGAACCAGTACCCACACACCTACCTCACCTGCGGACGTTGGATCCTGCAGGGATCTCCAGCTGCCACGCTAGCGGGTGGGTGGGGGGCGGTCTTTGAGCCACGGAAGAGGTGAATGCCTACGACCTTTTGTGCATTTGCGTCCCCAGTGTGTGCCGCTTGTGGAGGGAGTGTGTTCGCAGAGTGTTGCGGACCCATCGAAGTGTGACCTGGATCTCCGCGGGCCTGGCGGAGGCCGGCCACCTGGAGGGGCATTGCTTGGTCCGCGTGGTAGCAGAGGAGCTTGAGGCAAGTAAGAAGGGGTGTCTGCAGTCAGTTGCAGGGTTGGTGGGTCAGCCTTTGGGAATTGAAATTTAAAAATCCCAGTATTGTATGTGTCCTTGTTTTTGTTGAAGAACATTTTCTTGTGCCAGTGAAAAGCCTTATGTAATAAACGATAGCTTTAGTGACTGTATGGTAACGGTAATTTATTTGACTATTCATCAGATGTTAGCTATTCTAAGAAAGCTTCACAGACCCTTTCCCTTGAAGCAAGTGGTTTTCGTCTCTGTTTTGCAGGTAATGCAATTGAGTGTCTCTTGCTCAATGCTACACACTGGAAAGCCAAGAAACAAAACTTATTCCCAAGTATTTCAACGCCTGCCCTGTACTACTTACTATCTCTGGGCCCCCTTTTCAAAAGGTGCGCCAGTAAGTGGGAGGTAAAAACGTGGACTGTGAAGTTAGACAGTGAGATTGATATCTCACTAGGGTGTGAAAGAGAGCCCTTTGAGAGTAAATTGTCAACCTGATACTCTAATCACTCTCTATACTTGAGTATGTATAATGTACAAACAAGAAAATTCTACATAATCACAATGCAGCCATCAAAATCAGGAAACTGTAGTTGATCTATTTTTTTCCATCAGATAGCCTCAGACTCCATTCAGTTTGTCAGTTGCCCCAGTAATGTTCTTCATAACAAAAGGATTCAGTGGGGAATTCTTTTACCAATCAGTCACTTTAAATAAAGTTCAGATTCTTTGGTCTGGAACAGTTTCTCAAGCTTTTCTTGACTTTCCCAATCTTGATACTTAGGAATATTAGAAGCTAGTTGTTTTGTAGAGCATACATAAACTGGTTATGTCTGAGGTTTATTCAATTCAGATTATGTTTCTTTGGCAAGAACTGCACAGAAGTGGTGTTTGCTCTTCTCATGGACTTCTTTCAGGTAGCATATGGCTTTCATTTGTCTCATTACTGAGGAGATTATCTTAAATTACTTGATTTGCTTGGTATCTGTCAGGTGTCTTTACTGTAAAATTAGTTTCCTGCTGTAATGAGTGTTTTGTGGAGAAATACTTTGAAACTGTTTGAGTCCTCTTTCAGTTTAATCACTTATATTTGTAAATACTCTTGGTCTGTTATTCAAGGGTATATCTGTTACTATCAGTATTTATATTGGTGTTCAAATTATCCCCAGTTTGATGAGTGGGAGCCCCTTCAGGCTGTCTTCATTGTCTTCCAGAGATGACTCCATCATCTTTGAACACTTGCCTGGTTTCTGGCACAATGTGGTTTAAGCTTGTTAAGTGCTGTCTGCTTCAGTCCTAAGATTGATGATTTCTCCAAGAAGCCCTGGTTCCTTTAAGTGGAGAATGGTATTTAGAAGCTAAAATCTGGACTTTAAGTGTACTCTTAGCTCTTGAGAGATTTACTGCTTTAAAGCCCAGTCAGTGGACAGAACCAAGGAGTGTATATATGTATCTATAGTCATCCCTTTGGATCTACTGTGTATTGGTTCTAGGACAACCCCATCCCTACTCCCCACCATCCACATTTGGAAATCCTTGGATACTCAAGTTCGTTATGTAAAGGATATAGTATTTGCAGATAACCTATGTATATCCGTCTATATTTTCAGTAATCTTCAGATTACTTAATACCCAATACAATGTAAATACCACATAGTTTATACTGTATTGTTAGAGAATAATGAAAATAATGTTAGAGAATAATGAAAATTTTGTGCATGTGCAGTACAGATTAACTTTTTTCTCTTGAGTATTTTTCAACCATGATTGGTATCCCTGAACTCAAAACTCACAGATGTGGGTGCCGAATGTAACATGCCTATGTATGTATATACATCTCTTGCCCATTTATAACCATATTTCTATCCATCTATATCTGGAAACTCATGAGTTTCTCTTTTTTTGGATGGTGGAACTGGGGATTGAACCTAGGGGTGTATTGCCACTGAGCTACATCCCAAGTCCTTTTTATTTTTTACTTTGAGACAGGGTCTCACTCAGTTGCTGAGGGTTTCTGAGTTGCTGGGGCTGGTCTCCAAGTTGTGATAGTCCTGCCTCAAAACCTCCTGAATTGCTGGGATTACAGGCATGCACCACTGCACCTGGCACATAATCCAACATAGGATTCTTTCTATCTTTCTGCTCATATTTGTACCTCCCTTTTGGACAATGAAAAACTTGGCTCTCATCTTTCTTATTATATTTAGATAGCAGATGAGTGCCCCATATGTGACTGATGGTCTGTTTCCGGTTTCTTTCTTTCTTTTTTTTTTTTTTTTAATATTTTTTTTAGTTATACATGGGCACAGTATCTTTATTTTGTTTATTTATTTTTATGTGGTGCTGAGGATCAAACCCAGGGTCTCACAAGTAAGAGGCAAGTGCTCTACTGCTAAGCCACAACCCCAGCCCCTGTTTCCTGTTTCTTTGTGTCAATTTTCACCTTAACTTTTTGGGCTCTGGGACCCAGACCCAGGGAGCTGGTCAGTGTACAAAGGCAGACTTGTTGGAAAATTTTCTTTTCTGATACTTTGGTCCAAATCCTGCTCTTTCCAGGTTTGTTGTTTGGAAAAACTTGGAAGTTCAAGTAAAAACTTTTCCACAGAAATGTTCTTTGGAGCTTCATTTATAATGCAGGAAATTAAAAACAACCTAATGTTAATCTAATAAATGAAGTCATTACGTGATGAACTTCAAGGTTCATTTAATGATAAAACAAAATGTTAATGAAAGTGAAAAACACAGATTACAAATTATGTTTAGTTAATCTGTATTATTAAAAACAAAAAGGGAAGAGTAATAAGCTCCAAAATGTTAGCATAAGTTTCCTTTGGGATTAGAATTGAGATTTTTTTTTTTTCCCATGCTTTTTTAAACTTTGTGTGGTTTTCAGTTTTTTACCATGGCAGGCATTATTTTTATATGTGAATTAGGGAAATTCAGCAGTTGCTTTTCAGGGGGACTAAAAAAGACAGAATCATAACATCTCAGAACTAGACTTCAAATATTTGTCTAAGAATAGAAAACTTGAAGCCTAAAAACTTTGTGAGGGTTATTCTGCTGGCATATGGCAGAGGCGGTACTAAGCCCTAACCCTCTTGGGCCTTTTCCTAGGTATCACAGACTGAAATGCCCTGACGGCCAGAAAGGCAGCTAAAGTGGAGTAGTGGCTCAGAGGAGTAGTAAGGCCATAGCAGGTCTTTTTGTCAGGAGGCATGCAGTCTGTGTTGTTAGAATGCTCTGATTTTCAAAAGAATGTGGAAACCCTCATTTTATCCAGAAATTTTGTGGAATTTTAAATTTTGGCAACGAATGTATGTTTATAGGTTATATCCAGCCTGGAGGCTACCACAGGTCATCATGCTTAGTATCTTATAAGTTTATCTATCTGGAATCTACTCTGAACTTACCAAATTACAATGAGTCAACTTTTTTCCCCATCTGACCAATAATGAAACTTTATTATAAACTGAGTATTTTATTCTGATGGTTTTCACACACACACAAAAAGGAAAATATCTTCATCCTTTTTTTAATTCAACCATGTCTGTAATGTGAAGTTTAGTGAAAAATCAATGAATATGAATAAGCAAGCCCTGCTTGTAGAGGAAATAGGACACAAATAAGGATCCCAAGTACTGAGAGAATCTAGGAGCAGACTAAGACAGGAAGAGAGATGCAGGGGACCTGGGGAAATGGGCATGTCTGATAATAAGAAACTAAGGGCCTTCAAGGAAGCTTGAAGGTGGGGCTAGATATGAGGAAAGCCTGGACTATTTGACATGCTAGGCAGCAAGGAGAGGAGTAATAGAGCAGCATCGCACCTTCTGTCTGGTGAAAGGTTTCTGTTAAAGCAGGTGGCATCTTTTGCTGGTACTTAAGAGCTTAAATTACCATTATAAAAATGAACTTGAGGGCTGGGATGGATTTGACTTCAAGAAGTAATTAGGTGCTCAGTAAAATGATCTTAAAATGCAAGGGCTAGAGTGAAGAATGAGAAGGAGACAAACTCGGAACCAAACATTGTCCTAAAGGAAGGGAAGGTAGGGGGGCATCAGTAGTTTGGACCAGGGAGATACCATGAAAGTGGTCACAGATTATGGGATTCAATTTGATTTTTTGTTTTCTTTACAGAATGTTCATATCTTACCACAGACAGTTCTCTACATGGCTGATTCAGAAACTTTTATTAGTCTAGAAGAGTGTCGTGGCCATAAGAGAGGTAAGTATCAAAAGAAAAAGCCCCCCACCCCCATTTCACTCTGTACCTTCTTTATGGAGTTACTTATGACTTTGCCTATGCAAGGCTTTTAGTGTGCTGGCTTAACAGGTACCTTTTACCTACAGATCCTGTAGGTAATTGTGTGTTCTTGGCTTGCTAAGAGAAAAAGCAGATGAAGCATCCATGATGGGCACATTGAGGCCCAGAGTTTGATTTAGACAATGGTTTATCATTGTTTAATTTGACTTTGCAGTCATGGTAGTTCTGCTGTAACATCAGCTAAATAAAGAGGTACAGTAAACAGCAAGCCTCAAATTTAGCTGCAACTGTTAAATTTGATGTCACTGGGCCAAGAGCGGTATATAAACAAATGTCAAAAACAAACTAGTAATGCTAAAGGTCAGATTTAGAGTTTAAAATATAAAGCAGGAGCCAAAGTGGAGAAACCTTTTGTTTTTAGGCTTTCTTTTAAATCATTCTCTTGTCAAATATTTGCCTTTTTTTTTAAACAGTGTCAGATTTAAATGTAAATGGATGATATCTAATAATTTTGCTACTATATTATTACAGCAAGGAAAAGAACTACTATGGAAACCGCATTGGCACTTGAGAAGCTATTCCCAAAACGATGCCAAGTCCTTGGGATTGTGGCCCCAGGAATTGTAGGTGAGAGAAATTGCAACTTGATGATTTCTTCCTTGCTTTAAGTGGGGTCCTATAGAGTGGTGAATTATTTGTAGGTGAAAAGCACATTATTCTTTCTGGTCATTCAAAATACAATAAAGTTGGTCATATTTGCCATGATTTTACATTTGACTTAAGTTTGTTGTAGTTAGTAATTCAAGTCTCAGTGCTGCTACCTGTATAAAACAAATATAATGCATCTCTTTTCAATAGCCATTCATTAGAGGGAATGTTTGATCACTGAATTTTTGCTGTTTTTATCGTTGTTGTTGTTATTATTATTATTATTTTATTCTTTTCTGTAGGTAATGGGGGAAAGAGAGTCTGTTGAGGCAGTACAGGTATAGTGGCTAAGATACATACCTACTTGGATTCCAGTGGTACTGCTTAGTATCTGTGGCACTTTGAGCAAGTTATCTGACTTCTGTAGGGCTTTAGTTACCCCATCAATGGAATGGGATGATGATGGTGGTGATAGAACCATCCCTGGAGTATTGTGAGGATTAAATGAATTAATACATGTAGTGCATTTAAAAAGAGATGTGCAGTAAGCAAATGTTAGCTATTATTGTTTTCTTTGTTCTGACTTGGTAGTACCTAGTACTCTTTAACCGGCCTCTTTTTCTAGTTGTTGACCGACCTTTATTTTGTTTATTTACATGCGGTGCTGAGAATTGAACCCAGTGCTTCCTCACACATGCCAGGCAGGTGTGCTACCAACTGAGCCTCAGCCCCAGCTCTCCTTAATCTGGCATTTTTAATCTTCACTGAAAACTTGTTTTCTTTGTGGACCTGGGATTGAACCCAGGGCTTCCCATGTTTGGCAAGCACTCCACCACTGAGCTATATCTGCAGCTCCAAAAGATTTTTGCTATAAATTTGGGAATCTTGTATAATGAAACAAAGAAACCCCATTCATTTCAAGTGTTTAGAAATGAATAGGGTAAATACATAGTTGATAGGGACTGTTTCATCAGCTCCCCACTACTGTACTATTATTCTGTCCACCCACTCAGGCATGTCATTTCTGATTGGATTAAGGGAACGATAGCAGTGACCCTGGTTTTCTTCAAACCTTTGAATTGTCCTTAAATGATTGATCATTTCTTTACCATTACTGGTTGCTAATAAATACAGAATCATAGCTCTTTTTCCTTGCATCATTTTCTTGGTCTCCCCTCTGTATCTACTGTGGCTTCTCTAAACATACAAGTTTTTCCTTTTTAAAATTTCTGCTGAGGGGAATAGGGGAGGAGAGAGAGGATAGGGCCAGACCTGGGTGACACTCTCCCTTGTGAGCCTTGCCTTACTCGGCATTAGTTTTGATTTGTGTTTCTCATCCCCCTAAGTTCTGCTGTGATCTTGATGTCAGGACAGTGCCATTCCAGCTCCTTTAGTCAGGGCTTGGTCTTTGTATCTTCTTGGTTCCCTATTACCCTTTTTACTGTTTCTGATTCCCCTACAGCTGGTACTTTCTTTGAGTCAGTTCCTCATGTGCCTGAACAAAGTTTCCACCAAGATAATTTTTCTTAGGCCACTGTACAGTGATTGTTTCTAAAACAGCCATGATAGTTACTAGTCCCATCTTCCTTCCTTATGGTTGGAAAATTTTCAAGTTTTAGAAAAATCTGTTCATTTTTTACAGGTGCATATGTTACTTTTCCACAGATAAACTTTACCTACAGTCAAATGTAAAATCTTTAGTTTAAAATTTATTGAGTTTTGACAAATTTATGCCCTTCTGTAATCAACCCCCTAGTCAAGATAGGAAATACTTCCACCACCTGGGAGAGTTTCTTCTCATTTCCTGTTAATTCCTGCCTTTGAAAACCTATTTTGATTTTTCTGACTGTAGGTTAGTTTTGCCTGTTGTGAAAGTCACATAAATGGGCGTGATCTCTTTTTGTGTTTTATCTTTCACTCAGTATAAATATTTTTAACAATGTGTTTTTGAGATTTGTTTGTTATGTTAATCAGTAATTCTTTAAAAAAATTTCTCAAGTAGCATTCTATTATATAAGTAGATCATGATTTGTTTTCTCATTCTCTTTTTGATGAACATTGTTATAATTTCCAGTTCCTAAGTATTATGAATGAAGTTGTTAAGAACATTTGCCTTTGTGTATAGGTCTTAAAATTCTTCTTAGGCAGTCACCAAGAAGTGGAAAAGGAGGATCTGAATGTTGATGTAAATTTAACTTAAAAGGAAACACCAGTTTTCCAAACCAGTGATGTATGAGAGTTCCATTTGCTCCATATCCCAATAGTCATGATTCTTGTTAATTTTAGCCATTATAGTGGGCATCTAGAGGCTTATGATAGTTATAATTTAAATTTTTCTAATGACTAATTATGCTGAGAACTTTTTCATGAGTTTATGGGCTATTTCTATGTCAGTTTTTGTGAAATGTCTTTTACTGATTTTTTTTTTATTGGAATGTTTGTCTTATTGAGTTATAGGAGCTCTTTATATAGTTTGAGTCCTCTAACAGGTGTAGGTATTATAAATGTTTTCTCCTGGTCTGTGGCTTTTTATTGTCTTAACAGTTTCTTTTAATGAGCAGAAAACTTTAAGTTCAGTTTATCAATATTTTTCTTTCATAGTTAATTTTTTAAATGTCCTTTGTAAGAAATCTTTGTCTATCTCAGATTTACAAAGGTGTTTAATCTCATGTTTTATTCTATAAACTGTATAGTTTTAGCTTTAATATTTAGTTCTGTGGCCTAACTTGAGTTAATTTTATATTTGTTTGTAAGGTAGGTGTTTAAAGTTAGTTTTTTCCCCATGTTTGTGTAGTTATTCTGTCACCATGTCTTTGAGAGTTTTCTTTCCCTATTATGTTGTCTTGGCAACTTTGTCAAAAATAATTTGTTAGAAATAATTGAGCCAGAGCTGGAGTTGTGGCTCAGTGGTAGAGCACTTGCCTAGCACGTGTGAGGCACTGGGTTTGATCCTCAGCACCACATAAAAATAAATACAGGTATTGTGTTTACCTACTAAAGTAAAATTTTAAAAAATAATAATTGAGCCTGATTTTGGGTTTTATTCTCTTCCCTCAATCTATTTTCTATCCTTAAACCAAATAATATCATCTGGATTCTTGTAGACATCAGTGTTCTTGTTAAGGATTATTTGGCTCTCTGGGTCCTTTGCATTTTCACATACATTTTCAGTATATCAATTTCTACAAAAGAGTCTTGTTATTTTAATTCAGATTGTTTTGCAGTCTTCTAAATACATATAAAAAATTGCTCTTATGTTTTGATATTTTCCGTGGAACAAAGGGCCTTATCATAAACTCTGAATTTTTGTTTTCATGTATTTAATTCAGAATATATTTTGTGGGTTTGGTTTGACTTGGAAATTTTCTCTTTGAGTATATATATTTTTTCATTTTGCCCTAAATTTGGTCCATTTGGTTTGTGATATGCTTAACACTTTTTTTTTTTTTGTAGTTAAAGATGGACAGAATGCCTTTATTTTATTTGTTTATGTTTATGTGGTGCTGAGGATCGAACCTAATGTCTCATGCAAGCTAGGCAAGTGCTCTTCCACTGAGCTACAACCCCAGCCAGTTTTTTTTTTTTCTTTTTTACACTAGTAATAATAATTTAGTATTACACAAAAGAAAAAAAAAATTAAGCACCACGGACTTAACCACTCTATTAACTTTATGAGGTTTGTGTTTATATTTGTGGTGTAGGTAAAACCAGAATATAATTTTCTGTGATTTGTAACTTACTGTATTATGTATTAGTCTGCTAGGGTTGGACAAAATAACACTGTCTGGATGGCTTAAACAACAAATTTATTTTCTCATAGTTTGGAGGCTGGAGGTCCAAGTTCAGCATTAGTTTTTCCTGAAGCTTGCAGACAGCCTTCTTCTCTCTGGTCCTTTTGTATACCTTGTCTTTGTACAGAGTGAGCCTGGTGTCTCTTCCCCTCTTATGAGAACTTTAATCCTGATGGAATAGTGCCTACTGTTATGATCTCATTTAACTTTTACCTCTTTAAAGACCTTATCTCTAAGTACAATCACAAAGAAGAAGTTAGGCCTTATATGAATTTGGGGAGGGGGGTAGTCTATTACATCTGCCTTTAAAATGCACAGCACATTACAAACATATTTTCAGGTCAGCAGATAACATATCTGGCATCAGTCTTAATGGCTACATTCTGTTGTATATATGAAGCTTTTAATCTAAATACTAAGGTAGGGCATTTAGGTTTTTTCCCTTTTACTTTCTGTTAATTCTATAATAAAAATAGTTGTGCATACATATACTTTACATAATTAGCAAATTTCTTTGGGATAAATTTTTAAAAGTGGATTTACTATGAAAAAGTATTTGCTACTCAACTTTTTGTTTTGAAAAACTTAAAGCCTGTGGAAAAGTAGCATGATAGAATGAATACACAGTAATCACCCTTGTATCCTCCATTGAAAAAATTTTTGCAACATTTGTTTTTTCTTTGTTTATAAAAACCATTTATTTCTGAGCCATTTGAGAGTAAGTTATAGAAATCATGACATTACACCCTAAAAACACCAAAGCTGAGCATAATTTACCCCCAATAGTGGTTATTTAGCTTGGCATTTGTATTAGTGACTTAAACTGCAGTTATCTAGGTGGGGTTGGTCAATTTACATTGTTACCAAATCAAATTCTGTTTTTATTGAATCTGTTCTCAAAACTGCAATTTTTTCCCCTAGTAACTCCAATGGGAACAGGTAGCAATCGACCTCAGGAAATAGAAATTGGAGAATCTGGTTTTGCTCTATTATTTCCTCAAATTGAAGGAATAAAAATACAGCCCTTTCATTTTACTAAAGATCCAAAGAACTTAACACTTGAAAGACATCAACTTACTGAAGTAGGTAAGTTACTGTTATTTATTATTAATTGTTTTGTTGGTTAACTTTGTTTTAATTTTGGCTTGTTGGTGGATATTAGTTTCCCTTAAGAAAATCCAAATGAAGTATACCTGTTACTGGCAACATGGCTAATTCAAGCCAGTGATTCACAGAAGCTAGTACTGTACATTTTGTTTTCTTTGTTTTTGGTGTCAAATCATTTTATTGAGAAGGTTGGAGATTAAGGAGTGCGGAAGTGCTGAAATTAACGATTAAATCCGACGTCCGCTGCAGGGCCAGACCTTGCCACCGCTGAAAAGCAGTACTGTACATTTTGTTAGAATTGGTTTGCTTTTTAAATAGTTTGCCTTAAAGCCCAAGAGGACAGAATGAAAACAATTACATTAGTACTCTGTGGATAATAAATTTATTTGTATTTAATTATGGATTTTGAAGGAATTCTTGCTCTTTGAATAGTGTCTTATAGTTTTGCCTAGTTTTGTTTTTGTAAGCTGAAAAGTATTTTACACTTATAAATAAACATTTATTATAAAAGGTTTTAGAAGAAACAAGTTGTCTCTAAGTGGACTAATAAGATAGGAACTGGCATAGTGAAATTGGGAAGTGTTAGGAAAGGTCTCGGAAGGCACAGTCTATCCATATTCAGGGTTGTACTGGGACCAAAAGACAGGAAGTGTGGCTGGAAGAGGTGAATCATGAGAGGTGAATGTGAAGAGGTAGAGGGCTGGCTGTGGGTCCAAGTTTTGATGAAAAAAACTTAATGCAGTAAGCAACAAACTAGCTACTTAAGCAAAACATTGTGAAGGCCTTTTATCTACATCCGCAAATAAACTGATTGGACTTTAACTCATTAAAGTTAAGGTACAGATAAGTCTCCATTATTTGAAGTGGCACTTATCCCAGCAGGAATTTTAAAAAAAAAAAAAAATGTGTAGCAACAAAGAGAAGATTTGGTTGGTTTAGTAATCAGGGGGAAAAAAGGACTAGCCACATTAAGACTAGTTTTTACAACTACCCCTGACAATGTAAAAAAGGCCAAAACACAAAATTTGGGCATCAGCAACTAAGACTAGCAGCTATGAGCAGCAGGCCATTTAATTGGAGGATGGCAGACATATTTAGGAAGAGTATGGAAAGTTTAAACAGCCAGCTCTGTGAGGCAGGGTAGTGTAGCTATTGAGAATTCAGTTTTTTATCTGCCCTAGTTCTGCTACTGTCCAGGCTTTTAGGATGAGTTTCTTAACTTTTCTAAACCTGTTTACTTTTCTATAAAGTGAAAATAACTACAGCGTTATGGAGATTAAATGAATGACTTATGTAAAGCACAAGGGCCTGAAGAGAAGGCAATCAGTTGGAGGAAATTAACAAATGATTAGATCTAAGGGAGTAGAGAGACTGGGGGACTTAGTGAAAACTTATGAATTTTGTATCTAGGAGATAGGGACAGTGGTGATTCAGAGAGCAGATGTAGGGAACTCTGGGACAGAAGCAGCAAGATGTGGGAGAAACAATTAGGAAAATCAGACCCCCTCTGAGACACTTGTTTTGGCTTTTGATTTAATGTTTTTGCTAAAGGCTTTCTGGCCAAATCTTTTTGCTTCCTTTGTCTGGAGGAGTGGTATGCCTCCCTGGGCAGTTCTTCCTCCTCTGTTATCCTGGGCATCTTGGGAGTCTTCGGTGGGGTTCTTATACTTAGCCCTGGTTGAAGCTAGAATCCTCATTTTGTCAGTTCAAAAGAAAGCCAAAATCTTGAGCAGAAGAAAGCATCCATTTTATGATAAAATTGTAATTTTTGTTAGACCATGTTTGCTTTGTGGACCAAATGTAGGAGTGGGGACACAGCCCCAGGTTTATCCTGCTTGGTGATGCTTTCATATACTGTCCTGTTCTGAGCTACTTGCTGTGATCAGTTTGAGCCAAGGCATCATTTTCATCCTTTGGGAAACTGAAGCGTTGCCTAGATTGGGATGGTAATTTCTGTTCTCTCATGCTGTCTTATGTCCCACTTTTATGTGTTTCTAAATTTGGACCATCTCAACTAGACAAGGAGTGAGTGAGTGGCTGGAGGCTGTGATGTGGGGCCTGGGTTGCTGAACCAGATACCTGGGGCCAGATCCTTTTCTTGTCTTTTATGACACTGGAAGCATTCTGTTCATATCAGTGTCCCTCAAAGTTTTTCTGTAAGGGGCCAGATAGTAAATGTTTTAGGTTTTGCCAGCCAGATAGTCTTAGGTGCATCCGTTCAGCTCTGCTGTGGGAGTGCAAATGCAGTTGGCAGTGCGTAGAAGAATGGCTGTGCTCAGATGAAGTTCTGTTTAGAGAGAGAGAGAGGATGTGGGCTGGATTTGGCCTATGGACTTAGTTTGTCTTCACTTACTTTATCGTACATAACTGCAGCAACTATAAGATGTCCTGTGAAAGGCTCACAATAAGCAAAGGGACTAAATTCTCTTATAAAACTGGCAATGGCCCTGAAGACAAGGGATCTTGTGTTTGATTTAATTATAGTTCTACTAGCTAGACCCTGCATATAGGAGATGACATAATCTGACCTAGTGTCATAGTATATATAATTTTATACAATACTGTTATATTCTTTTTGGAGGAATCTTACCAGAATGTGCATTAAGAGAGTAGGTGTAGATTGTTGTAAGGTCTGTATGATATTCTGTGTTAAAATTAGTCTCTGGAATGAGAAGGGGGCGCAAAACCCACAATTGATTCTTAAGGATGTAAAAACTATCTACTATCTCAGTAAAATTTCATAAAAATCCATTACTTATTCATTGAAAATCAGTTTGTGGAGCTAGAGTTATGGCTCAGTGGTAGAGCGCTTGCCTAGCAAGCGTGAGGCACTGGGTTTAATTCTCAGGAACACATATAAATAAATAAAAAATAAAGGTGCATTAACTAAAAAATATTTTTGGAAAATTTGAAAAAAGAAAAACTGGGTATATGCTGCATGTAAACCTCTGTTTGTGATGACATTGTCCCGGCCTTCTGGACCTCCCAGTCAGCAGGGCAGGCCGACTGAATGAAAAACCATACTGCCAGGTAGAAGCACAGATGTGCTAGAAAACATACAACCAGGGGGCTTAATAGACTTAATAGAACCTTGGGAAGATGGAAAGGAGGCTTGGGTAGGAAGGAGTATCGTGGGTGGTTTTTATATTCTTTGCTGGTCGCTGACAAAAAACCCCAGCAAGATAGCCAAGAGATCAAAGAACGAAATAGAAAAACCTGGTAATTCCCGTGAGGGTGTAGAAGTGAGTTCCCACAGCTCAGTTGGGAAACCTAAAGAATATCCTGCCTGGGAGGCATGAGAGGAGGGGTCTGTGATGGAAGCTGAACCCGCAGGCAGAGGCCAGTCAGGAAGGCCAAAGGAGGACTGTTGGGAAGCTAGGAGTCTCAACGCAGGAATGGCATGATCAGAAATGTCTCTGGAAAATGCCACTGTGGCTGCAGGGTGCTGGTCGTTGTAGAGGAGCACAGGAGTGGATGCAGGATGAGTTCAGTTTGCTTTGTAGTATACATATTTCAAAACATTATCTTGTACATAATAGCTATATATTCACATTAAATTTTTTAAAAATCAGATGCAGGAAAAACAGGATGCTGTTGTATTGGTTAAGGCAAGAAGAAGTGGCATTTTGGGCAAGGGTGGTAGCGGGTGGAGTTGAAGAGAAGTAGATCAATTCCAGAGAAGGTTCAGAGGTAAATGGATGGCATGTGGTGACTGATGCAATATTTGACGTTGAGAATAAGAGAAGTGGCATTGATCTCACCTAGGTTTTTGGCTGGGTACAGTTTCACAGTAAAGAATGGACTAGAAGGTGCAGTTTGGAGGAATCAAGTTATTAAAAGTTGTTTTGAGGGGCTGGGGATGTGGCTCAAGCGGTAGCGCGCTCGCCTGGCATGCGTGCGGCGCTGGGTTCAATCCTCAGCACCACATATAAATAAAGATGTTGTGTCTGCCGAAAAACTAAAGAATAAATATTTAAAAAAAACAAAAAAAAAACTTCTCTCTCTCTCTTAAAAAAAAAAGTTGTTTTGAACATGTTGAATTTGAGATGGAGATAGTAAGTAGACAGTTGACTGTCAGAGCTCAGGAGAGTGGTCGGGATGCAGGATGCAAATTTGAGAACCATCAGGTGATGAATGGTAACTGAAGCAAAGGGGACTGACCGGCTTCAGTGATGTGAAGCTGGGAGGGAAGGCACTCATCAGTGTGTTGACGGCCCTGGGCTTACTGAAGTAATATTTCTGTCATATCCCTCCCTTTTGCACTGAAGACTTTATTGAGACTACTCAGTAAGTAGATTGAGTAATTTCCTAACTTTTCTTTGAATAGCCATGACATTATCTTGGGCTAGTCACTTCTTTGGGGTTATCAATTTTGTTTGTAAAATAAGATTAGACCCTTGATCCAGAGGCATTTTCTAACTGAAAATCTGTTTTATAATTTTTTTTTTTTCTCTCAGAATTTGCTAGGCTGGTCTATAATAGAAGAAAAAGACACTTTAGTAGTGATCTGTGAGACCCGGTATTATGAAATAACAACATCCTTTCATTATTCAAATCAGTAATTTATTGTGTAGAGAATAAGAAATGACCCAGAGGCAGTTTCCCAGAATCATTATTTGATTTTGGTAATTAGTCATTTTTCTACCCCCATATTTTGTTGAACGAGCCTTATTTCTAGTAACCTCACCTTTGGTCTATCAAGATGGAAGTCATGTGGCCAAATCAAATGGAAACACGAGTGTGGTTAGGTTTTGGATTTCTTTCCTGTCCCAGAAGCCACTCTGTTTGATAATGCTATTGAATTTCTAATTGATGTTCAAAAACAAGGTGCCAGAGGCTCAAGTGAAACCCTGGGAGGGAGCTTTGGGAGCCCAAACACAGCCTGATCCCTAGGACTCTGCCGCCCCCTGTTGCTAGCTGCTTTTAGTCCATATGCCACAGGTCAAACCTGTTCCTGTTTTCCAAAGGCTAATCCACCTTCACTCCCACCTATTCCCTGCAGTAGGTGGACAGATCCTGTATTTCTGTGGTATAGTAGTTTCCCAAGGCTGCTATAACAAAGTACCTTGATGACTTAAAACACCACAGATTTATTCTGTCACATTTAAGCAGTCAGAAGTCTGAAATCAAGGTATCAGTAGCGCCCCACTCCTGGAGGCTCTACGGGCAAATCTGATGTCTCTTTCTGCTTTTATAGCCGCTGACATTTCTTATGGTTGCGTCACTGCAGTTTCTACTTCTGTGGTCACATTGCCTCCTCCTCTGTCTGTCTCCTTTGTCTGTCTTTTATTTTAAGGGCACTTGTCATTGGACTTAAGTGTCCACCTGGATAATTCAGGTGATCTCATTTCAAGATCCTTAGTGAGGTCTGAAAAGATTCTTTTTCCAAAAAGAGGCTCACATTGATAGATTGGGTTTAAGGTGGATATACACTGTAGGGGGTACCATTTACCCCACTACATGTAGTTGGTGCATTTTGTCTGCAATTTCTTTGGCTCTTTAAATTCCTCAGCTGATAATCCTATTGTTCTCTGCAAACCAGTGTCCCTTTCATTTCAGGTGGTGATCTGTTTGGAACCAGCTGTGTCCATAGAGAGCTGCTGCTCAGTACATAATTGCTTTCTTACTTGTTGGGTATTGATTGTATTATTTTCAAATAGGTTTTCTAATGAAAAAAAAAATTGCAGCTAAGAATTTGAGTTAGTATTTTAAAAGTTTGTAAAAAATGGGAAACTTGACAGCTGAAGCACTAAATTGCACTTCCTTAGGAGTGCCAGTAATTAGCAGTAGCATTTCATTTTGCAAGATGTATAAGATAATTCCTCTTCTAAGGCTGTTTTTAATTATTGCTTTTCGTTTCTCTGCAGGTCTTCTAGATAACCCTGAACTTCGCGTGGTCCTCGTCTTTGGCTATAATTGTTGCAAGGTGGGAGCCAGTAATTACCTGCAGCGAGTAGTCAGCACTTTCAGTGATATGAATATCATCTTGGCTGGAGGCCAGGTGGACAACCTGTCATCATTTACTTCTGAAAAGTAAGCTTTCTGTGCTTCTGATTTCTTCTGTGAACGAAGGGAAATGGTCTCAGGTTTTCATTACTGTAGACTTAGGTTAAGGGGCTTACTCAACATAATTCTGCTTATAGTTGAAGAATTAAACATAACTTGTATTGTCCTTTAAGAATGTCTTCTTAGTTGGACTCACATTCTTCTTAAAATTGATTTTCAGCATTGCCTGTTGATCAGTTCTGGCACTCTGTGACCTCAGTATATGCCATTTCTGCATAACAAGAAATCATAAATTAAGTTAAAATAAAAACAAAGGCATTTTTCCCCCAAGTACAGAATAGATTTGCTAATCAGGGACACAGGTTCAATTAGAAACCAGACAAATGTTTTGTTGTTAAGGGGAAAGAGGACTAGGTTTTTAAAGGGAAAGGGGGAGGAATGGATTGACTCTGCTACTCAAGTTGTTTTCAGTGTCTTTAGATTGAGGTTGGGGTCTGTCCACATGTTAAGCTGTATAGTATAAGGGGCTGTTGCAAGAATGTCATCAGTAAGCAGTCTTTTGAGACAGACAGCTAGTTAGTCTAAGCTCCATGACTGGAAAATGTTGTAGGCAGTAGGATAACAAATACTAGTCTAGGGTCTTATATTCTTTTCAGACAGCATTGTTTGGAGGTTAAAGATAGAGGCAAACTGCAGCCTTTCATTGTGTTCCAAGGCTCACAGAGGAATTCTCTTGAGCAAACTATAGCCATTTTATTTCCACACTTTCTCTGTTTTTCCTTCTTTAAAAGGACATATCTGGTTAAAGTGTATTTTCAGGGCAGAACTTCCCAGACAGAGCCTCTAATATGTTCAGTGTTTTAGAAATCTTCTGGTGTTAGGGATGTGGGGTGGAATAACATCTGTGGCAGTTCTCAAATCTATTTGGTCACAAAACCTTTTCTCCATGGAACATCTTGCAGGTATTTTATTGGTTTTCAACATATAATTTTAGAAATTCTGTACCATTTTGAAAGGTTGTTTCAAGTTTGAAAATTGATTTTATTACTAAAACTTTTGCTTTCAGAGATAGAAATATCCTATCTTTGGATCCATTATTTCCTTCTCAATCTTGTTTCATTTTGTTGCTGCACAGGGTCTCTATTTCAAATTTGAGTTTGAGCTCTGGACATGTTTCTGAAAGCAGTAACATGAACTCCTACTCCACCCCCAATGTCATCTCTAAACACTAGTATTTATTCCTCACTGTATTTGTGTTTAGTATTTGGATCCTGGAATGGTGACATGGGACAAAGAGTAATATACATCATCCCAGTTACAGGGTCTCTCCTGCTAGCCTCCATTGATGTACCAGGGAAAGTAAACAGCTAAGTCCAATGTCCCTGGACTGCAAGTGAGAAAGAAAGTACGTTAAATTTTAGACAGTAGGATAACAAATACTAGACTTTACATACATCTGAATCTCAGTGGCACTATCTATTTTCCCTCTTCCCTAGATTTTCTTCTTTGCTATTACCTTTAAACTGTAAATAACCAATGGTGATTTAACATCTATTTCAGACTTATAAATCTATTGGTGTGGCTATTTATCATCTATTTTTTATACCAATATGGGAAATAAGCCCCCTGAAATAATTACACCTCACACATTAATTTTAATGTACTCTTTGTTCTCTGTCAGTGGCTAAGAGAGTCCATAAATGTTCCATCTTAACAGCGAGCGGATACCCCAACCTGCCTCAGCCCCCCAAAAGATAAATAATTGAGGCAAGAGAGTGACAACATGTATTACAATTGTATGCCAAAGAGGAAATGTGACAAAAGGGAACCTAAAAAGAAGATGGAGGGGCTGGGGTTGTAGCTCAGTGATTGAGCAATTGCCTTGCATGCGTGACGAATTGGGTTTGATACTCAGCACCACATAAAATAAGTAAATAAATAAATAAATAGATATTGTGTCCATCTACAACTAAAAACAATTAAAAAAAAAAAAAAAAGATGGACTCTGCCTCTTTCAAACTGGTTTTGCACAGGTTGTTCTTATTGAGTCTGGTTTCCTGCTAGCCCAGTGAATCTTAACCGTTTTATAGATTCATATGTTGATAAAATGAGAGAAATTAGAAATGTAAGGCATTTACTTTGTTTCCCCCAGTGGGTGTTCACTATCTGTACTTTATAACTCTGATATTTTCTAAGGATGAAATTTCATTTAAAAAAATAAAGTGCCAGGTAAATAAAGACAATGCAGAAGTCCTTATGATCAGACTAAGCCAAATTCTAGGCTCAAAGTAAGTATTTGTTTACACAACAAACATAAAGCTAAGACTTCTGGAGTATTAACTTTTAAAATTCCATGATTATTTTTAATTATTTAAAATTAATTTTTAATTCATTTTAAATGATTATTTTTAATTATTAGAGAAATGTATTACAGTGGATGGGGTAGAGAGAGAAGATGGGAGGGGAGGGAGGGGGGATAGTAGAGGATAGGAAAGGTATCAGAATACAACAGTTACTAATGGGGCATTATGTAAAAATGTGGATGTGTAACCGATGTGATTCTGCAATCTGTATTTGGGGTAAAATTGGGAGTTCATAACCAACTTGAATCTAATGTATGAAATATGATATGTCAAGAGCTTTATAATGTTTTGAACAACCAATAAAAAAAAATAAATTAAAAAAAATTTAATTATTTAAAATTAAGTTTTAAAATTCCATGATTATTTTTAAATATATCTCTTTCAGAATTTGACAGGTAGTAGGGAAGAATACCACAGTGTAAATCATACCAAGAAGCTTCACTAACTAGGTTTCTAAATGAGAAAATATTGGTGAATGTGCATGACATATCTTTGTATTTGTGGCTGAAAAGGACAGCTGCTTACTTCTTGATCTGCCTTCAGCAATCTAACATACCACTTATATCTGGGATATGGTCTTTGACCAAGCAGAGGCTGCTAAAGGTAGCAGTGTCTCTCCCTCAGTGCATCATAGGGGTTTTCTTCTATACTTTAGGTATTTCATGATACATTGCCCCTCTTCTATTTTTTCAGGAACCCTCTGGATATTGATGCCACAGGCGTGGCTGGACTGTCATTTAGTGGGCACCGAATCCAGAGTGCCACGGTGCTTCTTAATGAGGATGTCAATGATGAGAAGACTGCTGAGGCGGCCATGCAGCGCCTGAAAGCAGCCAACATTCCAGAACAGAATACCATTGGCTTCATGTTTGCATGCGTTGGCAGGGGCTTTCAGTATTATAGAGCCAAAGGGAATGTCGAGGCTGATGCATTTAGGAAGTTTTTTCCTAATGTTCCCTTGTTTGGCTTCTTTGGAAATGGAGAAATTGGATGTGACCGGATAGTCACTGGGAACTTTATATTGAGAAAATGTAACGAGGTAAAGGATGATGATCTGTTTCACAGCTATACAACAATAATGGCACTGATTCACCTGGGGTCATCTAAATAAAGCCATCTTTAAAGTGGCTTTTGCAGTATTCAAAGTATTGACTTTCAACTTCTGCCTTTTCCACAAAATGGAAACTTGGGATATGTATATTTCAAAAAAAGATAACTTTAGCTCTGTCTGTTCTGTAGCTTTGATAGATGTTCTGAGATCACATTTGGGTAATTTTTAATATATTAGATGAAGGACAACTTTGTACACAACACACAACACGAGTTGAAAGCTTTGCGTTGGGCACAAGCAAAGAAGTTGTGGCTGTGTTCACCTGTCGAAGCTGCTGTATAAGGTGACTTTCAATAGTCTTCCTGCAAGGAATGATCAAAGGGTGATTTACCAGTGAGATAAAGATTTAAGGCATTCTGCATCTACCTCTTTGTATTGGTAAATGACCTTTTAGCAGAATCTGGAAGATATTTTTTTCCTCCCTTAATATCAGAGAAAAATGAAATGGGTTGAGAAATCTTTCTGCTTTCCAATTTTACCAGTTTTCCCCCCCAGATACTGTAATAATATAATTACTTTTTTACTTATGATAAAAATTTAACTTTGTTTTGATACTCTAAAAGTTGCTCAGTCAGATAAAATTGTTGAGAGACTTTTATAAATAAAACTATTTTCCTTAATAAAGAAATTCCAAGAGAAGATTTTTTTCTCATATAGTTTCGTATAGCTAATTGGCAGACCAGAAAATTCTATCACCTTATTTTGATTTTATACCAATAAAACATACCTTACAAACTCATTCAGATACTTTTCTGTATTTCAAAAGCAAACTAATCCTTTGTAAATGAAAAGCTGGAATGTAGGTATTTGTTAGCTGGTCAGTCCTATCATTCAAGTTTGAATTTCTGACACACAAATATTTGAGAGGGGCAGAGAATACCAGTATCCCCTTAATATCCATTCTTACCTTTTATTCTATCACAGTGATAGAAACAAACAAACAAAGACTACATTTCTCAGTGTCTCTTGCAGGTATAATTGTTTTTTGGCTGATGAACATGATGGGAAATGATTCTCTTTTTCTGCCTCTTTTTCTATCTTGTTTGAAATGTACATCTGGTCATGAACCATCTTGGATGCTGCCAAGGAGGCAATACCCCATTGTGGAAGAAAACCAGACAGAGATTCTGGGTCCCTGTATACCTTTGTTGAAGTACCTCCATAGCAGATCTGACCTGCCTGACTCCAGACTGTTTGTTTTACAAAATAGAAATCAGCTTGCTTAAGCAGCCTTCCTCTTCCATCCCTAGGGCTTTATTGTATATGATCTTATAAAGTGAGATAAATGACGTGGCATTTTTGTAATGATTAGAGGTTTTAACAGGACAGTAGAAAACTTGCAATATAAGTAAAAGCAAATGTATTAACATTGTTCCTGATTTTCTGTCACTTTTCTCCCAACTTTTTACCTCGTAGATTTTTCTCTTGCTATTTATGTGTATAATACTTAAAAGGTTCCTTTATTTTATGAGTATTTTAAATATTCCTGAAGAGTTACTTCCTTTTGGAGTTCCAGAAAAGTCCAAAGAAAAGTTTGATTGAGAGATTTTTTTTAATCTGTATTTCTCTTTAGCCATTTGTTAACTTTTCTATTTATTAACTTTTCTGTTATTTGACACTGATATGTATTATCAGTTAGCTAGTAACTCCAAAATCCTAGTCCTTGAATATGCTTAAGTAGAAACATAGACAAATATTTTAGAAATCTTGTTCCTGATATGAATCAGAATTGGTTGAATAATAGAGGAAGGAGGATTTTAAAAGCTGAAATTATGAATAAAATAGGCATGAGAATTACATGGATTTTTAAAAAAATTAATACTCAAAATGTTTTGCTACTTCTCAAAGGAGAATCTGCCACAGGATAACTTGCTAAACATCTGACATTGTTTTGGGGTTTCTTTTAATAGGTTAGCCTTTTGGCACTTGTCAGAGACAATAAAATCATTCAATCACATGGTTGTAATCTTAGTACAAAGTAAAAAGGGGAGAACTTGACCCAATAGAAGTAATAGTATATCTCAATAACAAAAGCCATCCTTTCTGCATCTGAGAGGCTGTGAGGTTGTATGGAAGTAATTTAACTAAAGTCAGAGCTATATTACAGTTTTAAAAGATCTGTCCTACAAGCAAGCATTAAAGAGTAATTACTGAAATTCCTTGAGATGGCAAACCATTGTAGCCACTTGTGAAACTGCAAAAATGATCACATTAAAAAAAAAAAAAAGAGAGACATAAAGGTGAATCCTTACTGTCTTCACATGCTGAGCTGTCTTAAGATCAGATGATATGATGGTTTATTTAATCAAGACACTTAAAAACACGGATTTCTTATACTTTGAAAACAAAATCATTTGTGGGGCTGTAGTTTGCTTTATAAAAGGCTGCATCAAGGAACATGTTTCCATTCCCTTTGGTCCAAGTAGAATGAAAACTCTTTAACAGCCAAATAGAAATAGGAGAAGGAGGGAAGGTGGACCTGGGGATATACTCTGTGGAATGATGTAACAGTAGGTTGTTTCATTACGATTTTTTCAGTTTTGCTTAAAATTAAAAGGATCATCTCAACCCATGAAGCCAGAGAGCAAAAGATTTGCCATGATTTACACTGCACATTTAACAAAAAATAAACGTGCAAAGAATTATATTGCAAGAATAAATTTACAAATCTAGAACTTTCTATGTAATCTGAAGAACCTTTCAAGTAAAAATATAATTGCTTTTGTCATACCCATACGGTCTGGTCCAAATTAGCATTGCCATAAAATCAGTTTTAAGGGAAACAGAATACCCCAAATTCCCCTGATGGTAAATCATGAGATTCCACGATTGATTTGATTTTCAGTTGTAAAAACTGAATATGAGTCGGCTTAATGAAAATGTTAAATGAAATCTGTAATAACATCTTTGTTTGATGAACAAAATATATATGTAGAGTGTACTAGAAAGCTATTTTAACGTGGGCCCTATATAAGTTAGGATAAGTAGTCAAGTATTTACGTTATTTTTATTGTATATATTCACTTCTGCCCTGTGCCACAACTGAAGACTAGTTACTAGAATGTATGCAACTGTAAACACTGGCAGAAGCCAATAAATGTCTTAATGTTTTGGTGCTAAGAGTTATATGGAGTTTTTCATTTTTTAACTTTTTTTTTTTCAAAGTTTTTAATCTCTAATGACTTATCACAGCCAGTGAGATTGGTTAATATTGGTTTTAAATGCAAATTATCAGATTGTGGAGAATTTTGAGACAGTCTTAATCTTTTTCTAATTCTCACTAAACAAAATTCAATCACCATACATTTGGTTCTTAATAAATATACTCTGTTCAAAGTCATGTCATGATACTAGAATTACAGATGGGATTAACACACAATTCACTTGAGTTACACCAGCAAAATCATGGATTAGGAAGCTCCGAACTCATTCCCCAAAAGAAACAACACAAACAAGCAACTGTCTGAACCAACTTTGTTAAAGCTCTGGAAAATAGTCAAGAGGTTCATTGCAATCAAGAGAATGCCCAACTAAAAAACCATCTTCAAAATGGTAGGAAAATTTTGTGACTTTTACTTTTTTCCCCCACCCCAGGCACAGTGATTGACAGTCTCATTCTTGAAGCAGTAAAAATCCAGTTTCCATCCAGAAAATTGAAGATGTGGAATAGACCTTATTTACAAATTATTGGAAACATTTTTTAACTTGTCTGTTCAACATCTGAAGGATGGAAGGTAGGCACTGCTTTAAGAACTATAAGATCTACTGATGCCTGGGTCAAGATATTGTGGGTAGAGATGTAAAACAGACCAGCTAGGCCCAGAGGAGAAGCTGGAATGAGGCTTTGAGAATTAGGACATTGAGAAGCAGTCGTGTACAAGAACAATTTAGAATGTCACACATGCCTAGGAAGACACTTGCAAAGACCCTAAGCTTTCACGTGTGGTCCATGTTGGAGAACCGCCCTAGCACAGAGTCAGTCTGCAAAAACTAGAACATTTAAGGGAATTTTTGTCAAAGTAGATGAGAAGAAAGAAACCAGAGACTTGAATGATCACACAAAGAACAGTTTTTGTAAAAATTGCTATCAAAACAACTGGATAAAAGCCTTTAAAAATAAATCAGCCAACAAATTTTGAGAAAAGGAGAGAATCTGATGTCTAGAGTTATAATGGTGAAATGCTTTTTTCAACTCAGAATTACGAGGGATACAAAAGAATAGGGAAATAAGGCCCATTCAAAGAATCAAGATAACACACTGTCCCTTATGAAGTCCAGACATTAAACTTACTAGACAAAAGATTTAGCGGCTCGGGGAGCTGAGACAGGAGGATCATGAGTTCAAAGCCAGCATTCGCGAAAGCAAGATGCTAAGCAACTCGGTGAGACCCTGTCTCTAAATAAAATACAAAAAAAAAGGGCTGGGGATGTGGCTCAGTGGTCAAGTGCCCCTGAGTTCAATCCCTAGTACCAAAAAGAAAATTCTAAAATATAGTCAAGGAATTAGATGATGATAAACGAACAAAATCAGTTTCAAGAAAAAGGAATTATAAAAAATCAAGAAAATTCTGGAGGAGAAAAATATAAGAAACAATTTTTACTAGACGGATACAGCAGATTTGAATGGGGGAAGAAAAGATGAGCAAACTTTTATAGAAAGACAATTGAAAACAAGAAATTAAAATATATGAACACAGCATAAAGAACAAGAAAGAATGAAGACAAGCAAACAGCATAACAGACTCGTGGGACAACAGCTATGTGTGACAGACATACAAACCTAGTTCCAGCTACAAAATATCCATTCTTTTCAGGGGCACATCAGTGCTTGTGTTCAGCCACCCTTTACTTAGTAATAGCCCTGAAGCACAAGAATACACAAGAATAGTGATGCTGGCAATTTTATTGCAGTATATTATTATATTTGTACTGTTACAAATATATATTATAAATATATATGTGCACTTTTATACACACAAACACACACATGCACTGGTGACCAGACCCAGGTCCTGACACATGCAAGGCAAGCATTCTACCACTAAGCTATCCCTCCAGCTTTGTTGTTAATCTTTTATTGTGCCTAATCCTATAAATTATCCTAAGTATGTATGTACAGTCATGTGTAGGTTAGAGACAAGGATACACTGAGAAATGTGTCCTTCACTGTACAAACATTATAAGATATTCTCAAACTAAGTTACAACATCACTAGGAATATAACCTTATGGACTACTGCTATTGACCAAACCATCTATTATTTAGTACATAACTGCATATATATATATGGTTTGGGACTGTTGTCTCAGGCATCCACTGGGGGTCTTAGAATGTAGCGCCTGTGGATACAGGGGGATTATTATTTAGGCCAGCATCCCTTATGAATACTGATGCAAATTCCTCACTTCAAATACTTGAAACTGAATGCAACAGATTGAAAAGGATTATACACTATGACCAAGTGGGACTGATTCCTAGAATGCAGGGATGACAACATATAAAAATAAATATAATACATTATATTAATGGGGGGATGTTGAGAGCCACAGCCGAAGGGGCCCCAGCAAACTTTTAGCTGCCAGCTGATGATTGGCTCACAGTGGCCCCAGCAAACTTCTAGCTGCCAACTGATTGGCTCCTTTGTGGTGATGCTCATTGGGCTGTTTCCCCGCCCTTTCAGACCACAGAGCTGCTCATTGGGGGACTTTTGTTTGGCTCCGCCCACGTGACCCAGCCAATAGGCCTCAAGAGCAGGAGGAGTGGGGGAGATGGAGAGGCTTGTGGGAGAGGCTTGTGGGAAGCTGGTGGTGGCAGTTGGGCTCTGAAGGAATTCCTGAAGAGCTGTGTGGTGCGGTGTGTGTGTTCTAAAAATAATGTTCGTTTCTTTTGACAAGTGGCTCCTGAATTGTGCCCAGCCAGACTGCGACACTCAAACGCTTCAAGGCCTAGGAGTGGCGACTAATCCCCATAGAAGTGCAATGGTATTAGATTGGAAGAATCCTGAAGGATGTGAAGGAACTATACAGCCATATGTATTGGATCATCTTCCCGTAAATTTATGGGGACGAGATGTCCTAGATCAATTAGGACTAACATTAACAAATAACATCAATCCAAATGCGCCCACTATTATGGCTAGACAAGGTTTTAGGAAAGGAAAAAGATTAGGAGAACAAGAACAAGGTATAGCAGCACCAATACAAATAGATCAAGGAACAGACAGACATGGATTGGATTTTCAGAAGGGGTCACTGAGACAATAAAAATTACTTGGAAATCAGAAAGACCAATATGGGTTCCTCAGTGGCCCCTGACTAAAGAAAAGATACAAGCAGCCCATGACCTGGTCAAACAACAATTAGCGGAAGGACATATACAACCTTCTGTATCTCCCCATAATACTCCCATTTTTGTCATCAAAAAGAAATCTGGTAAATGGAGATTATTGCAAGATTTAAGAGCCATTAATAATGAGATGGTTATTATGGGACCTGCTCAATCAGGGATTCCTCAATTGTCTGCTTTGCCAAAAACCTGGTATGTTTTAGTTATAGATATTAAAGATTTTTTTTTTCAATTTCAATACATCCTGAGGATAGTCCACGTTTTGCATTTACTATCCCTGCACTGAATCATGAAGGTCCTGATCAGAGATATGAATGGAAAGTACTCCCTCAAGGGATGGCTAACAGCCCAACTATGTGTCAAATTTATGTTAACAAAGTAATCCAGCCACTTAGAAATCAAAATCCTGAACTACAAATATTTCACTATATGGATGATGTATTATTAGCACACAAAGCTAAAAACACATTGCTGGAATGTTATGCCACACTTACAAACTTATTAAAAAATTATAATCTAGAGATAGCAATAGATAAAGTACAATTAAATTTTCCAATTAATTATTTAGGAGTTCTATTATCCTCAACCATGGTCCGTCCACCAAAAATTCAAATATGAGTAGATCAACTCAAATCACTTAACAACTTTCAAAAGTTATTAGGAGACATAAATTGGATAAGGCCTTATCTAGGTATACCAACAGGAGAGTTGGGACCTTTATTTGATATCCGAAAAGGTCCATCAGATCCAAATTCATCCCGAATGTTAACGCCTGAAGCAAGAAAGGCATTAATAATCATTGAAACATATGGAAAATATGCATTTGGATAGAATTGATATAAGTTTGCCTTTATTATTTATTGTACTACCAACAAAAAATATTCCTACAGGAGTATTTTGGTAAGAAGATCCATTATTGTGGATACATTTATCTTATTCTCCTAACACTATTCTTACTAGGTATCCTGAGGCTGTAGGACAATTAATACTCAAAGGAATAAAAGCAGCAAAGAGAGTGTTTGGAATTTCTCCCAATAAAATTATTACTCCCTATACTATGGATCAAATTGACGAGTTAGCTAATGAGTTAAATACTTGGGCAATAATCATGTGCAAATCTAATGTTTCATTTGATAACCACTTACCATCTAATCCTTTATTGTTTTTTGGTTATTGCATCCTGTAATTTTTCCAAAAATGACAAGAAAAACACCTATCATGAATGCTCCAAATATATTCACTGGTGGGTCAAATAATGGTACAGCAGCAATAGTTACGCCTAATCAAACTTTTACATTTTTAGTACCCAAATCAGCTCAAAGGTAGAGCTTAATGCAGTATTACAAGCTTTTGTGATGTTTAAAGATTCTGTATTTAATTTATTTTCCGATAGTCAGTATATAGTTAATGCTATAGTATCCCTTGAAGATACTGGTAGGATTTCCCCTTCCTCTACTGTTTTCTCTTTGCTTTCCACTATACAAAGTCTAATCTGGGACAGAAAAGATCCATTCTTTATAGGACATATCAGGGCACATACAGGATTGCCTGGAGCCCTTAGTTTGGGCAATGATTTAGCAGATAAAACTACACATGACATACATATTTTCTCTACACTAGAAGAAGCTACAAATTTTCATAAAAAGTTCCATGTCAATGCTAATACTTTACAAAAGTATTTTAAAATAACTAAGGAAAAAGCTAGACAAATAATAAAACAATGTCAAAATTGTGTGACCTTTTTAGCACAAGTTAATCTTGGAGTCAATCCTAGAAG